TTTCAGTGATCAGTAGCTTTGAAGGAAAATTATGTTCTCATAATGTTTTTAAACAACAACCAAAAAGAACAGATGTTGTTACTGGTGTCTTTAACGCCTCCTGAAAGAAAACATCTGTGTTAAACTTCCTGAACATTCTCGGTCTTGAGAACAACTCCCACACAGCCTGAAAAGGAAGCCATGAGCTGGCCATGCAGTTTTCACTCTTTCCTACGGAGTGTTTTAATGCAGGATACTGGTGCCAGATACTGTCTTTTCTTTAAGAGCTTAATGAACCAAGCAGCATTTATGTATTTGAAAATTTATAACCCACTTTTCTTTATGAACTAGATTAAAAGCCACTCCCCAGAAAAAGGTCACTGAGAGCATTTGAACTCGGATATCAAGCGCTGATTTTTTAAAAGTGGCAAGTGGTGTGCCTTAGCTTTCTGTCTGGGGCCTCTTGTTGTGGCCCCTTAGCAGAGCCAGATTAACTGTCCAGAAAGGGTTGCTAATGGGGTGTCAGCAGAAGTGGGCCCAAGGCACTGTGTGCCACAAAGTCTACTTGGGCCTTCATTTTAAACGCTAGATAAATTAGCACCTCCAGGCTCCAAATCCTGTAGCTCTATGCAGGGCTGAAGAACCAGCTGTAGCTCCCTCTTCTCATGATTGAGTTTCACCTCCATGGGCCTCATCCGCTCCATTACCAGGCCCAGGCAGAGCAGAGTTAGCATCCTGTTCTCTGCCATTGCCGCAGAGGTCGTGTGTGCTCAGTGGTTGTGTTTCAACTTGCCCTGTATCTCTTTTGACCAATAACATTTCCCTTTCACCTGTTTTGGGTTGAGGTAGCCTAAGGTAACAGCTAGGTCCTCTTGCTCCCTCGTCACATCTCTGAAACCACCCATTTGTTACCCTTTCAGGGAAGCTTTTAATGTTTAACTGACTATTGTATTTTAATATTCTGTTGGAAGCCGCCCAGAGTGGCTGGGGAAACCCAGCCAGATGGGCAGGGTATAAATATTATTATTATTATTATTATTATTATTATTATTATTATTATTATTATCATCATCATCATCATCATCATTATTTGGTTCCTGTAGAATAGTTTGGTAATTAGGCAAGTTACTCAATAAATTTAGGTGAGAATATTGGGAAAACATGCACGAGTGATAGTTGTAAATCCTATCTAGACAAGTGGCTTGACTAAATTTTTGTAAACCGAAGGAGATGCACACACATGCTTCCTCTTGCCAGGTATGAAAGAGGACCCCATATATTCACAGAGGTCCAGCTGCCATAGATGACAATGGGGAGGCCCAGGTGTCTGCTGGATTCAGGATTGGGGCCAGTGATTCTAATATACACAAGAATAATCCTAAACCAAGATTTTTAAGAGTAATGCTGTATTTTATAAACAAATAGTATATGTTATATTTTTCATCATTCTACTATTGTGATCTTTTGAAACTATTTTATGTGACTTGTGATGTGAAAATTAAGATAAAAAATACTTAGAATATTCAAATTGGTGACATTATATGGTGACATGATTATTTTCCAAAAGATGAAATAGTCTGGGGAAGCATCTGATAAATTAATTTGAATCATGAGAAAGGAGAGGCCTCTTCAGTTGTTTGGATGACTGTCTAATTCAGTGTTTCCCAACCTTGTGCCTCCAGCTGTTTTTGGACTACAATTCCCATCATCCCTTGCCACTGGTCTTGCTAGTCAGGGATGATGGGAGTTGTAGTTCAAAAACAGCTGGAGGCACAAGGTTGGGAAACACTGGTCTAATTTACTGCTCACAAACAAGAACATGACTTTTGGGAACTCAGTAGAGAGAATTCCTTAGCAGGCACTTTTATGAGGATTTAATGTTAATTTTGACCTTATTTGCAATTTTAAAAATCATTCTAAAGGCTGAATCACCTCCCTGGAATTAGTTTAATTTCCTGGGAGTAAATGTCATATGTCTGGATGACTCAGTTTAAATGAACAGTAAATTACATGACCATTAGACTAAACATGGTGAGATTTTCTTCTTTAGCATTTTAGAAAAATAAATTTGAATTTGCCTTTATTTTTCATGTACAGTGGTACCTCTACTTACGAACTTAATTCGTTCTGGAGGTCTGTTCTTAACCTGAAACTGTTCTTAACGAGAGAACAGAACATTCTTTTGCTAATGGGGCCTCTTGCTGCTGCTGCTCCGCTGGCACACGATTTCCGTTCTCATCCTGGGGCAAAGTTCTCAACTCAAGGTAACTCTTCCAGGTTAGCGGAGTTTGTAACCTGAAGCGTTTGTAACCTGAGGCGTTTATAACTCAAGGTATAAGCTTTAATTTCTGGCAGCGAATGAATGGAGCAGTGTCTAAAGGTCCAACATATTAATTAGAGCAGCAAAAGAGACAAATTCTGGACTCCTTTCCACGCATCACCATGCTTAGTATCAAACTGTTTCTTGATCATCCCTAGACCCTCATTATGCAAGGGGGGGTATGCTGTCACTCTACCTTATGCTCTTATGCTCATCCAGCCCAGAAGGGAAGGGAAACCCAAATTACCCAAATGCAGCAAATCAGTAGGAAAAGTGGCAGGCATGCCCCCCACACCTCTAGAAACTCCACTAGTGCACCCCCAGCATGGCAAAACCCCAAATGCACAGAGACGGAGGGAGCCAGCCACTCAGGAAGCAGCACCGCAGAAAGAGACAGCCAGGCCAGGGACCTCTAGGGGAGCCTGTGGCCTTGTCTGCTGAAGCACAAAACCCACACCTAAGAGTGTGGAGCAACTCTCCTTGCATTTGGGACCTTTAAGTTTAGAGAAAAGGCAAGTAAGAGGCAACATGGTAGAAGTTTATAAAACTGTGTGTGGCATGAAGAAAGTGGACAGAGAAAAGTTTTTCTTCCTCTCTCGTAACACTAGAACTTGTGGATGTCCAATGAAAGTGAATGTTGAAAGATTCAGGACAGATAACACAGCACAGAGTTAAACTACGGAACTCTCCCCCACAAGAGGCAGCGATGGCCACCAGCTAGGATGGCTTTAAAAGAGAATCAGGCGGATTCATGGAGGACAAGAGGGCGAGCAACTGCTATTGGCCACAGGGGAGGCAGCCATGCTTCTGAATACCAGTGGCTGGAAACTGCAAAAGGGGAGAGTTGCTCTTGTTTGTGGCTTTCCCTTTGGGGCAATTGGTTGGCCACTGTGAGGACAGGAGGCTGGACCAGATGGCCCCCTGGGCAGGTCCAGCAGTCCTTCCAATGTTCCTATGAAAAGCTAGCAAGGGAATCACCGTGTCCATGAATAGCTGCAACAGTTGCTTTGGCACCCATGTTATTGCAACATACTCCTAGGAGCCCTGGGTCAAATCTCTCCTACGGGGAACATTTTGCTCCCCCACATCTGTGGAGTAGTTTGGGCTTCTGACACTGTTTAATGAATACCTGAGATGGCGGTAGATTAACAGTAACGCTTCTCTTGTCTAAATACAACTTCCCAACACAACCTCATCAGACTTATTAATGCACACTTTCCTTTGTGCTTCAGTCCTTCTGTTCTGGTCTCATTTTTCATGCTAGACCACATGAGGCATTGCCCATGTAAGGCACTGTCTGTTTATTCAGGATCATATTTCATTACACAAGACATTGCTTTCCTTCCTGTAATATATGGCAACAAGAGGCAGGCTGTTGGTAACCATTTTAGGGACAAATCTTCTTGCCTAAGAGTCACGGTGACGTGGGAGCAGACTAGACTAATGCCTCCTTCCAAGGCTGACCTACTTGCCTACTAAACAGTCTTGCACTTCAAACTGTAATGAATTTAGTGGAAGTATTCCTTAAAAGTGCATTTGTGGTTCTAGTTTTCTGGTGTTACTATTGATGCGGTTGATGAGTGCCATCTACAGGTCTATTTTAAAGATAAAACTTTCAAAATGTAAAGGATCTATTCTACTTTTTTATTTTGTATTTTTATGTTGTGACGGACCCTGTGATCTTCTGATGAAGGGTGGTATACAACTTTAATAATAATAATAATTTATCTATTTTGTCATCTGTAATAAATGGCCTTAGCCCTATACACTGAAGGAGTATCTCCACCCGCCTCATCCCGCCTGGACACTGAGCTCCAGCTCCAAGGGCCTTCTGGCGCTTCCCTCCTTGCGAGAAGTGAGGTTGCAGGGAACCAGGCAAAGGGCCTTCTTGGTAGTGGTGCCTACCCTGTGGAATGCCCTCCCACCAGATGTCAATGACATGAGTAATTATATAACATTTAGGAAACATCTGAAGCTTTTTAAGGTTTAATGTCCTACTATGTTTTTATATATGCTGGAACTGCCTAGAGTGGCTGGGGCAACCCAATCAGATGGGCAGGATACAGACAGACAGAAGAATGCAGGGCAAAGTGGCGCATCTGTGCACGCGTGTGGAACTGTTTGCACTTCTGCACATGCGCAAAACGCAATTTAGTGCTTCTGCGCATGTGTGAGCGGCAAACCTAGAAGTAACCTGTTCTGGGTTTGCCATGGACATTCACCGGAACGGACGCTAGACAAAGCAGACATTCACGGAGGTATTACTGTATATATAATTATATATTTAAAAACCATTCCCCAGTTAAGTGGGCTTCACAATTCTATACATGTTGCAGCCTTATACAGTTACCTGGGAGTAAGCGCTATTGAATACAGTGAGACTTATTTCTAAGTAAACCCGTATGGTAATGACGCACTGGTGTGTACTGTTGAAATGCAATAGCAAAAGAGACTTCTCTGATGCTTAGTCAACAAGCAGAAATAGGTACTTCCCTAGAATAAAGTGTGAAAACTAGGGCTCATGTTACTCATTTGCACTGCAAAATATTTGGGTGGATGTTACTGTTCAGAGGAATTAGACTTCTGTAAAAATTGCTAGCTTCTTTATTAAGAGAAGCACAGGTTTCTTCATTACTGCAGAGATCAAGTGTTGCATGCATTACCGTAGTTTCTAAAGAATTGTGGTTGTTGTGATTTTCAGGGCCAACCAGGACTTCTTGGGCAGCAGGGATTCCCAGGGCCGCCTGGAGTGGGAGGTATCCCAGGACTTCCAGGGCACAAAGGATATAAAGGCGAAAGAGGCCAGCCAGGAATAACTGGACCAAAGGGAGAAGCGGTAATGATATAACTTCCATTAGGCTAACAACTGTAAAGAAAGACTGGGCTTTTTAATCATGTTTCCTTTTTCTTCTTAGGGACAAAGAGGGGTCACTGGTTTTTCTGGTGCAGATGGCATTCCTGTAAGTAGACACTCATTTAATCTACTGAAATAAGAGGGTCTTTCCGTAAATAGTTCAGACTGCTTTCAAATAATCTTTCCATTATGAAAGATCTGCTGCCTATTGAGTTCAGTAACATGTAAAAATAGGCCCGCTTTTCTCTAAAACAACCAGGTGGTTGCCAAACATAAAGTAAAAACACATCAAAAATACAGACAAAATAAAATGAAGGTTCTTCAAACAGCTCTTGTTATTCACAGACCACAACAGAACTGAACTGAAGGGTTCAGCCAGCCTGCTTATTTAGAGCTCCACTACAACGCAACTGTAACCACTTTCTGTAACTATCCAATCACTGAACGTCACTTTCAATCCCTTATTTGCATATGTGGACCTGACTGAAAACTATCTACAGTATCCCCCTTCTGGCCCAGGGTGAGAACTTCAGTACATAACAGAAATAGAATAGTAAAAGTTTTAACAGATAGTAATATAAAACTAAATATTAATTTAAAGCAGTAGATTCTGTAGTAAAAGCTGACTGGATTTTTTTTTTAAGTTCCATGGATCTCCACCAGTTGCACAGTCCACCCCCTGTCTCTCCTGTCTACCTGCCTAATTTCACAGAGAGAAGGTATACAAGCCATTCTACGAAATAAAAATCAATCTTTTGTGCTACAGATAGTGAATGTTTTGGAGGATATTTAAAGTGCAAATAACCTTGGGCAAATGACAAAGGCTTGTGAATCTACCTTTCACCAAATTCTGAACATGAGAAATTAATGAGGAGGCATTATTGTCAAAGTAAAACTTGGTTTGAACTTTCTAATTAACAATGTGTTGTATAAAATAATAAACAAAGAAGTTTTACTCCTATGCTCTTTTCCAGAACTACCCAGGCATGTATCCCAGAACTGGCTTCCTCCATACTGATTTCCCCTGATTTTAGGGATTCTTGACACAAAATCTCTCAAGCCCAATTTTAAATATGGATCCAGACAGTCAAAAAGAACTTACCCATGCTATGTACCACACACCAAGCAGGTAGTTTAAACTGAATTTAAATGCACTACACACCACTGTGCCTGTCCAAGTTGGCACTCCAGGTTTGGGGCCTACTCACACTGGATGCCTAGAGAAGGCGACTTGGCTCAAAGCAGAGCCTGGATTCATGCAGTTCTTCTTGTGCACTGGTGTCACATTTGACTTTTGCCTCAGTAAGCTTCCTTTTTTAAATAGAAGAGAGGGAACTGATGATAGATTGGCATCTCTTCTTTTCACTTTTGTTTCTCTTCCCAGCCCAGTCCATGTGTCCACTTCCTTTTCCCACCGATGGCTTTTCAAGTTTTCTGGGGTATCTGGTTTAAACTACAGAGATATTTTAAAGAATTTCCCCCCACTCAGTTTTCTCATGGAGTCATTGCTTAGGGTAATGGTGAGAACATTTAAGAGCTGTATGAAGACTAGGAAGTAGAAACTAAAAACAGATGGTTGGATAAACATTCTTGTGTTTGTTCTGTCTCTGCAGGGTCATCCGGGTCAAGCAGGATCAAGGGGCAAACCAGGCCATGATGGCTGTAATGGGACCAAGGGGGACGCTGGTCAGCAGGGAGGCCAGGGACCTGGAGGCTTGCCCGGATTCTTTGTAAGTTGCTAACACTGAATGAATAAATGGAATGGAACTACATCTTAGTTAATGCAACCTTTGCAAATGTTTTGTACACCACAGCAAAATGTACGCTGCTCCTTATCACCAGTGTCAGGAGAAGAGTAGTAGATTTTCCCTCATGGGAGGAAGCCTGGTGGAGTGTTTATGCGAATTTGTCTTGTTAGCATTATGTCTTAAAATCCTGCAGAAACTATAATTCCTCCATAGCTCTGCTTTGTGATAAATCCCAAGATCCCTAGCATTCATCTTGTACAGCGATAATTTCTAGGCTAACATGGAGCTCCCTCATCTTGTGTAGTCACAAATCATGGACCACCAAAACCAGGCATTCACTTTGCCATGGGAGGCAGCGTGAGGGAGCCTCACCCCCTCTAGGTCCCACCTCTTCTCCAAGCTACACTCCTTCTCCACACCTTGCTTGAGTGCCATGTGGGGCACCCCCCCCCACAGGGGGCAATTTGATTTTAGGGGGGGCAATTTGGAAGCTTGTTTAGACCAAGTTAATGGCCTTTTAGGCTTCCTACATGTGAATAGGGGTTCACTTCTTGAATAATAAGAATTATATGTCACGGGGGGGGCACGAGGGTTTTAGAGATGCTTAGGTGGGGCATGGCCAAAAAAACGTTGGGAACCACTGCGTTAGTGGTTTTGCCTGACTGGAATGTGCCCTTGCATGTGATGGTGCCTGTTCCTTGCTTGGATGGAGACGTGTGAAAAAGAAACACCTGAGTTTGGGTGGCTACTGTGCAAAGGTAACAGTCCCATCCATTATGTGTGGTGTGGAGAAAGTGGGTGGAGACACTTTTTCTATCTCTTTTAAACAGCTGTTTCTAACTTTTTAACTGATAATTCCGTAATTCCATTCTTTTTTGTAAACTGCTTTGAGTGTTTTTTGTTTTGCTTACAATCAAATGGAGTTTGTGTGTATCATTTTTTGGTGGGGGGACCTCTTACATAATACTGGAACCTAGGACCATTGGAAAATTCAGAACAGAAAAAAAGAGATTAAACTATGGAGGTTGCTGCCACAGGATATAGTATTGGCCACCAAGCTGGCTTAAAAAGGGATCGGACAAGTTCATGTAGACTAAGGCTATCAATTCCTACTAGCCATGTTGGTTATGATTACTGCTGGAGGCAGTGTGCCTCTGAATACCAGTTCACGTGTGAAGTTCTTCATGTACATTGTTGCTTCAGACCTGGTGTGCTAGGAGAATTAATTACTGTCTTCCATTGTTCAGTTCTTTGCTGTGTTTATCTGGATGGTACAAGGTCACATTCCATTCCTTCCGCTGTTCACCAACTAGCAAATGGGCTGCAGCCATAAATGACTCACAGAGTACATGTCCAGTCTCTGCCATTAAAATTCCACTCTGGAGTTCTTCCTTGGCACACAGTTAAATACAAGATCTTTTATCAAACTCGGCCTCTTGCCAGATCTGTTCAGCAGCTGTTCATTCTTCTTGCTCTGCATTGCTCCCTCACATTCCTGGCCCAATCCAAAGATAATTTTAAATAGAGTCCATTCAACCTTGGTCGAGGGCGGAGGGCATAATAAAACCTTGTTAAATTCCTTGTTGAGCATAAATCAAAAGTTTCCCTCCTCTTTTCCATGGTAACAGGCAGAATAACATAGCCGTGGCTACACACGTCTCTTTCATTTTACGGGGAGGACAAGAAAAAGACCACCTTGTGGTCCTTCCTTGGCTGTTGTGAGGATTTTCAAACTTTAGAAAAAACATTTGATACCTTCAAAGAGCCAGGCCCAGTCCTTTTGGCAGCTAATTGATTGCAGCCCATTATCATATGTCGATCCAGGAGCACCTCTTGATTAAACGCTAGTATACCAGATTAAGGATGAACCAACCCAAATCATGCCAGAGACAAAAGCTTGTCCACATCAGGGACACACTCCCAGGTCGCACTCCCTTTCAAGTTGGCAGACACAGACTTGAGCAGCACAGCAGGGCGCAGTGAGCTCCCCAGACCCCACTGGGGAACATGGTCAGGATTTTCGCCTCATAAATCCTGGCTTTCCCCTGCCTGAACCTCACCTGCAGTGGGGAGTGAACACCTTTGACTCGTGATGAAGCAGGAAATGGAACAAAGGTGCCTTCTTGATCTCAATTGGCAGGGAGTTCCATATTGCAGGTGCTGCCACACTAAACGATCAAGTTCTTACAAATGCGGAACGGGTATTACCGTATTTTTCGCTCTATAACACGCACCTGACCATAACACGCACATAGTTTTTAGAGGAGGAAAACAAGAAAAAAATATTCTAAACGGAACAGTGGATGTATGATTTTTGTGGTTCATGCTGTGGCCACAGACATGTGATCTGACGGTGAGTTTGGGGTAGCCCAATGCAAAAATCCTGAGGATCCATGTGGATCTATGCTTTGTAACCACATTTTTGCGCCATTGCGGCCCCATGAAACAGTGGGTGCGTGTGTTTTTTGGTGCAGGCTGTAGCCATGGATATGCTATGTGATCTGATGGTGAATTTGGGGTGTGGAGAGGAAACCATGATAGTAACCACTCTGAGACAAATCAAGAAAAATTGCGACCAACACTCTCCCCCAACAAGCGCAGTGAGGTCAAAACACACACACACACACACACACAGAGAGAACTGGCCCTAAAGTCGCAGGGCGCTAGAAGTCGCAGGGGCGCTGGGAGAGTGAACGGGAAGCAGGAGGAGGAGAAGGAGCCCTCACACACACACAGACACACAGAGTGTCAATCCTAAAGTCGCAGGAGAGCGCAGGGGCGCAGGGAGAGTGAACGGGAAGCAGGAGGAGGAGAAGGAGCCCTCACACACACAGAGACACACAGAGTGTCAATCCTAAAGTCGCAGGGAGAGTGAACGGGAAGCAGGAGGAGGAGAAGGAGCCCTCTCACACACACACAGACACACACACAGAGTGTCAATCCTAAAGTCGCAGGAGAGTGCAGGGGCGCAGGGAGAGTGAACGGGAAGCAGGAGGAGGAGAAGGAGCCCTCACACACACACAGACACACAGAGTGTCAATCCTAAAGTCGCAGGGAGAGTGAACGGGAAGAAGGAGGAGGAGAAGGAGCCCACACACACACACACACACACACACACACAGAGTGTCAATCCTAAAGTCGCAGGAGAGCGCAGGGGCGCAGGGAGAGTGAACGGGAAGCAGGAGGAGGAGAAGGAGCCCTCACACACACAGAGACACACAGAGTGTCAATCCTAAAGTCGCAGGGAGAGTGAACGGGAAGCAGGAGGAGGAGAAGGAGCCCACACACACACACACACACACAGAGTGTCAATCCTAAAGTCGCAGGAGAGTGCAGGGGCGCAGGGAGAGTGAACGGGAAGCAGGAGGAGGAGAACGATAGCTCAAGCACACACACACACACACACACAGCCCCTACAGTGGCTAATCCAAAATCGGACAGCAAAAAACTGCAGGCAGGGACAGAGAGCATGGGGTTGTTTTAAAGCAGCCAACCCTGCTCTGCTTCTGTCCCTCCTCCCCGGCTAGGCTGGCTGAAAAGCTTTGCTGCTACTTAGGAGCTCAGTGGGGAGGAGAGAGGGACAGAGAGCACGTGGTTGTTTTAAAGCAGCCGACCCCACTCTGCTTCTCTCCCTCCTACCCGGCTCCACTAGCTTACACCCGCTTTTGAGCCACAGACTGCTCACGACTGCAGCAGATTCCCCCGCCATCTGTAGGCATTCGCTCCATAACACACACAGACATTTCCCCTTACTTTCTAGGAGGAAAAATCTGCGTGTTATGGAGCGAAATTTACGGTATGTGGCATGTGTAGTAGTCCCAATATGGGCCACAAATCCTATAGTTTGCAACTTACCTTCATTTAAATTTGCAACACTACCTTCTGTTGGCTTGACATAGGGTTTAGGATGGCTTTTACTCCATACCTGTAATGGGAATTGGGGTTGCTTGTGTGTAAACCTCCAACTGCTCCAAACTGCTTGGGACGATTGTCCTTTCCCTAGCTGAGCAGCCCCTTGGCACGGCTGCTTCAGTCGCTGGCAGAATCCGTCAGTGGGCGTTTCCTAAACTTCTTCCAACATAAGAATTCCTTGACGGACAACCTCCTCCTCGCCTCTCTGCGCGGAAGCCTTCTGCACAGAGTAGGCGTGCCAAGCGGTGGTCCCCCACTCTCCTCACTGACCTCACTGGAAGAGTCTCGGAGCCTCCCCTCCGAAGTGCTCTCAGCCTCCCCTTTCTTCCTGGTGTCACCTTGGCTTCCTTCCCCAGCGGAAGCTCTCTCTCCCCCTTTACTGATTCCCTCTCCGGCATCCTTGGGGAGCCTAACCTCTCCACTCTGCTCCGATGTCAGTTCCCTGACATCCACCTCCCTCCCAGGGCCCTCCCTCTCCCCCGCCCGTTCTTTGGAAGGTGACGCAGGGAACCCCCGGAAGGAGCTATCCCCTTGATCTGATGATTCAAACACCGTTCTCCCTCTGCTGCTGTCTCTTCCCACTCCCCAATCTTCCCAGTCGGATCCTTCTCCTTCGGACAATTCCCCCTCCCCCTCTTCGGAGTCGGGAAATCCCACAAACTCTTCTTAATCATCTGTAGGGCCAAATTGCTCCTCCCAGAACCTCTCTCTTGGTTTGGGCTTCCTCGGGTACCTGCGATGAAACTCCTCCTGCAGTTACTCATCCCCAATCTCTTCTGCTGGAACCCATGTGTTTTCCGATTCTGACTCCCCCTCCCAAGCCACCAAATATTCCACTCGCCCCCCCTCCACCTGGAATCGAGAATTTCAGCTGCGTGACCACTGAGTTCCCTTTCCTCCATCTGTGGATGCAGGGGTGATTCTCCTTCTTGGCCCAGAAATTCCCTCCCCTCCCTGAACGGTGAGAGCAAGGACCTGTGGAACACCGGGTGCAGTTTCACGTTAGGGGGCAATTTGAGCCTAAAGGCTACAGGATTCACCTGTTGGGCTACTTCGAATGGTCCCAATCACTTTGGCCGTAATTTCTTACACCCTCCTTTGAACGGTAACCCTTGGGTGGACAACCACACCTGGTCCCCCACTCTTATAGTTTCCCCTTCTCGGCGGTGCTTGTCAGCCTGCCTTTTGTACTCTTCCTTTGCCCTTTCCAGGTTAATCTTAAGCTGTTGGTGTAAAGCCTCCATTTCTTCCACAAATTGTTTAGCCGCTGGAACACTCCACCTTCCCTCCCCCTCCCCGGGGAAGGCCCTGGGGTGACACCCGTAATTCGCCATGAATGGACTCATCCCCGTGGACACATGTTCCACGTTATTGTATGCAAACTCAGCCAGCGCTAATTTGTCCACCCAATCGCTCCCCCTGTCGTTGACGTAGCAGCGTAAGTATTGCTGAAGTATGCTATTAGCTCTTTCTGCTTGTCCGTTGGTCTCTGGGTGTCTGGCCGTCGAGAAGCTCACCTCGACATCCAGCAGGCTCATCAGCTTCCTCCAGAATCTGGAAGTAAATTGCCGGCCTCTGTCGGATAAAATCCTCAAGGGGGCGCCATGCAACCTGAAAACATGCTCTACAAACAACTTAGCTGTTTCTTCTGCAGACACCGCATGCGAGCAAGCAATAAAGTGGCACATTTTTGTCATCAGGTCAGCTACCACCATTACTGCCGTTTTTCCCCTGGCCTTGGGTAAATCAGTCATAAAATCAACTGATACCACCTCCCATGGTCTCTCTGGTGTGGGTAAAGGCTCCAGTAACCCCGCGGGCGCTGCCCTCTCCACCTTAGCTCGCTGGCAGCGCTAGCACCCGCGTACGTATTCCTTCACCTCCTCCCTCACCCTTGGCCACCAGAACTGCCTGGTGACCAGTAGCATTGTTTTGTGTTGGCCAAAATGCCCCGCCGTGGGGTTGTCATGTAGTTGCTTGAGTATTCTTCTCCTCAAATCCCCCTCTGGTATGTACAGCGCACCCTTGTAGTACAAAGCCCCGTCCTTTACCTCAAATCCCCCCTGATTATCTCCGGCCCTTTGTATCTCCCTGATTTTGGTTTGTGCATACTGGTCCTCCCTCGTCAACCCAGCTAGCTCTTGTCTCCCCACCAACACTCCCCCACACACCTATCGGTCCTCGGGTATGACATGACACACTTCCGGCACTCCCTCCCCTTCTGAGTACTCAGGTTTGCGTGAGAGAGCGTCTGCTCTGACATTTTCCTTCCCAGGCACGTACCTAATCTCAAAATTAAACTTAGAAAACTCCTGTGCCCACCGCACCTGTCTTTGGTTCAGCACCCGCACAGTTCTCCAATACTCCAGGTTCTTGTGGTCAGTACACACCTGGATCTTGTGCTGAGCACCTATTAGAAAATGTCTCCAGCGCCGAAAGGCCTCATGAATTGCCAGCAGCTCCCGATCGTACACCGTGTAGTTTTGTTCTGACTTGTTCAGCTTCCTTGAGAAAAAGGCGCACGGCTTCCACACTCCCCGATCTCCCGGCTGAAACAATATGCTCCCCACCGCTCGGTCTGATGCGTCCATCTCCAGCCTCATCGGCTTCCGCAGATCCACATGTAGGAGTTGCTCTTCCGAGGCGAACGCCCTCTTAAGCTTTTCAAAGGACCTCTGGGCCTCTTCCGTCCATTCAAACTTCTTCTTGCTGCTGAGACAATCTGTTATGGGAGCCATTAAATGGGCAAAGTTCTTGATGAACTTCCTATAGAAATTTCCAAACCCCAGGAACCTCTGTACGTCCTTCCGGTTTTTGGGAGGCTTCCATTCTAGCACTGCTTGCACCTTGCCTGGGTCCATGGCTAAGCCTTTGTCCGACAACCTGTAACCCAGGAACTCCACCTCTCGAGCGTGGAATTGGCACTTCTCCAGTTTGACCCACAACTGGTGCTCCTGCAGTCTCTTCAGCACTTCCCTGACGTCTTTTACATGCTGCTCTTCTTTCTCCGAGTAGATCAGCACGTTGTCCAAGAAAGCCACGCAATTCTTGTACAGCAGTGACCCGAGCACGTGGTGCATGAATGCTTGAAACATGCTTGAGCCGGATTGTAATCCGAAGGGCATAACTAAGTACTCAAAGGCCCCCAGAGGAGTGAACATGGTGGTTTTCCATTCGTCCCCCTCCCTCATCCTTATCAGATTGTACACCCCCCGCAGGTCCAGTTTGGTAAAAATCTTCCCCTTCCTTACCCTGGTTAAGATGTCATCAATTCTGGGCATAGGGAAGGCCACTGGTTCTGACACCCGGTTCAAACCACGGTAGTCCAACACAAGCCTAGGCTCCTTGGAGTCTCGCTTGTCCACAAAGAACACTGGACTACCTCCCACTGCCCTGGATTCTCGTATGAACCCTCTTTTCAGGTTCTTGTCAATAAACTTCCACAATTCCTGCACCTCCCTATCTGACATGGCGTACAGCTTACCCACTGGCAGCTGAGCCTCTGGGAGTAGATTGATTTGACAGTCAAAGGCCCTGTGAGGGGGTAGCCTATCCGCCTCCTTCTCGCTGAAGACTTCTTCCAAGTCCGCATACTGAGGTGGTACCTTCCCTTTTTCCCCTACCGCCATCCCTGCCACTCTGGCTACTGCCATCCTCGGCCCCCCCCCCGTGACAGTGCTCTACACAGTGGGCCGACCCAAAGGTGACTGTCCGCTGGTGCCACCCTACCACTGGGTCGTGCAGTGCTAACCAACTCATTCCCAGTATCGGTGGTCCTGCTAATGTGGCTACGTGAAAGGCAATTGTCTCTGTGTGTCTGGAAACCGTCATTTTCATGAGCGGGGTCTGGTGGGTCACTTCCCCCCCCAAGAGTTCTCTCCCATCAATAGTTGTTACTTGCAAGGGATGTTCTAGGGGCACCACCTGGAGCTGGTGTTCCAGCGCAAAATCCTTGCTAAAGAAGTTGTAAGAGCTGCCTGAATCCAGCAGCGCCTTCACCTTGATTGGGTGTCCGTTTGGGAGTTCTAGCACCACCTCTATGGCTATGGCTGCTCGGGGGGGGGTCTGGTTTGGGCACTTCTACTGGTTGCTCACCTGGCTGCTGTGCCCTCTTTCCTGCAGCCAAGCACTGTCGTTTCCCTGCGACTAATCCCTTTCCTCCTCACTCCCCACTGCCCCCACCATTCCTTGCCACGCCTTCTTCTGAGGGCATACTCTGGCAAAATGTCCTGGCTGCTGGCAGAGGAAACACTTCTTATTTGCTTTCCCCTCCTTCTTCCAAACCTCGCTGGAGTTTGAAACCCCGCGCGCGCGCGCTCCTCCAATCTCCATTGGCTCTTCGGGTGGCACAGTTGACGCCGGCACGTCTGGAATGCGGTTGTCATGCCAACGCTCTGCTCTCCCTTCCCGCCTTCCCAGAGCGCGCGTTTCTTGCCTGACTCCCACAGCGAGCGCCAACTTGGTCAGCTGGTCCATCGACTCTGGGCGGGGTGAGCGGGAAAGTTCATCTCTCACCCAAGGGGATAAGCCTTCCTCAAATAACATTTACACCGGTTCGGAACTCAGATCCCACCCAAGTTTATGGATCAACATCGCAAATCGCGACCAGTACTCTCTCACTGACTGGTTCCCTTGTTTGCACCCCATCAGTTCTTTGCGAGTTACACTTTGTTTCACATCACTCGAGAACATGTGGTCCATGGCGCTAAAAAACTTTCTCAAATCCTTCAAAGCCGCATTCTCCGCCGCCATTAAGGGCCGGACCCAATCTCTGGCCCTCCCCTCCAGGTGCCCCACCACGAAAGCGACTCTCCCCCCATCGTCTGCAAAGTCATCGTACTGCAGGTCCAGCGCATAGTGCACTTCTGTTTTAAATGCATTATAATCTCTGGGGTTCCCCCCAAACTTCTGCACTAGTCCTGGTACCTTGCTTGCGATGGGGGTAATCTTCCCCTGGGCATCCTGAGTCCTCCTTTCATCCAGCCGCGCCGCTAGTAGAGCCAGTTGCTGTTCCAAATCTCGGTCTCTCTCCTCCAGGCTTGGTCCTCCTTTGGCCCCCTCTCCTGCGCCGGCTCCTCCGGTTAAACTCATGACGGTGCCCCTCTCCTCTTGCACACAAGCAACGTAAGGGACTGACGGATTGCTGTAATGGGAATTGGGGTTGCTTGTGTGTAAACCTCCAACTGTTCCAAACTGCTTGGGACGGTTGCACTTTCCCTGGCTGAGCAGCCCCTTGGCACGGCTGCTTCAGTCGCTGGCAGAATCCGTCAGTGGGCGTTTCCTAAACTTCTTCCAACATAAGAATTCCTTGACGGACAACCTCCTCCTCGCCTCTCGCGTGCCAAGCGGTGGTCCCCCACTCTCCTCACTGACCTCACTGGAAGAGTCTCGGAACCTCCCCTCCGAAGTGCTCTCAGCCTCCCCTTTCTTCCTGGTGTCACCTTGGCTTCCTTCCCCAGCGAAAGCTCTCTCTCCCCCTTTACTGGTTCCCTCTCCGGCATCCTTGGGGAGCCTAACCTCTCCACTCTGCTCCGATGTCAGTTCCCTGACAATACCCATGTTGGAAAGCACATTTTTTCAATGGATTCCTAGATCGGAAGAGGAATGGTAGTGCTTACATATGGATACACATAGATTTACTGAAACAACTCCATAAAACCCTTGTGCTGTTAGTGATCATGGGCAGAGAGCTAAATACTTGTTTTCAACCACTGTAGGGAATCCAAGGACCCAAAGGTCAGAAGGGAGAGCCCTTTGTTTTTACTCCGGAATTAGCTGTGCAGTTCAGGGTAAGTTTGCGCTGCTGTTAAGAACTTAAAAAGGTGTTGTGCAAAGTTAGCATGTTTTCTTGTACCGTGGTTTTTTGGTTACCATGTTTTACTCTACCTCCTTTCAAATGTTTTGAGAGTCTCAGCTCTTCCTGAATATGTGAGAAGTTTGAAACCTTCCAGTTATGTTCTGAAGCCAAATTTTCAGGAGGAAGGCTTTTTTATCATGTTCCCAAATGTAGACTGTCAACTGAAAATCTTGCATCTCATTTTTCAGTGTATATCTGTAGAAATAGATTCTATCCAATGCAAGTAAAATTATCATCCTATGCAAGTTCTGTAACAGTTATCATAGCATTAGAAATCTTTATGGTCAAGAAAAGTCCTTTTCCATGGGCTGTTCCCCATGCTCTTTCAAGTGAATATATTGAAACAAATCATATACTGTATAGACATAGGTATTATGTTTTATAGGAAATAAGTATTTGCATATTAGTTGTTAAAGGTTTTGTTTCTGTTACAAATATGAATTGAAGACATTGTCATACTGACAAAATTTACTTTTCTAATTACTTTTATCTTTTGCATTTTGCAAATAATCACAAAGTTCTGTAAATAATGTATATGTACCTTTTTATTTCAATGTAGTAGAAATTGCTGTTTATGTTAGACTTGCATTTACTATCTAAGATTTCTTTCTCTAGGGAGACACTGGTGACCCAGGTTTGAGGGGCTTCCCGGTAAGTACTAAGGTGATAAATAACAATTTTTTAAGAGTGACTTTATGATAAACTATTAAGGAACAGTTTGATTTTAAAAACAAGCAATTATCTTCCTGTCTAGGGACCTCAGGGTGCTCCTGGTGCAGTGGGTATATTTGGTCCAGTTGGAAACACAGGTCTACCTGTAAGTATAATGAAATGCATAAATTATAATTCATCAGCTGCCCTGGGGAATGGTTACATGAATGCAGATAGCAGCGTGGTATCCTGATGACTGCACATGGGCAAATCTCAGAACTCCTCAAGTTAGAATTAATGCTTTTTAATTAGTATTAAAACATGACAGGACACTGGAGTGCTGAAACAGTTATTAAAATATTTAGATTCTAGGTACATTTTAAAAGCTGTATGTGAAATACATATATTTACATGAAGTGAGCACTCCAAAGGGATCCCTTACTGTCTAACTTCTGTTTTCAGGGACCTCCAGGGCCACCAGGATCTCCAGGACTTCAGGTAAGTCTTTTTCTGATGATTGGGACCATCTTGGGTCCACAGAACATGATCCACAGGTCTGTTGCAAATGCAAATTTGCTATAGAAGTTCCTTTGGTCAGTTGAGGAGTTTAAGCAATAAAGATAAAGTGGAATACCACAATTCTGGGTGGCAGAATGGGTTACTTTATTTGACCTAGACTGCTTCTTTGGAGATAAGTTTAAATGCAATTCAGAGAACAGTGAAGCAATAAGGGCTTCCTTCAACTGCTCAATCAATGAGGCTGGAAAGTTTTGAGAAATGGGAGGTGGAGCATCTGGAGTGGCTGGAAAGGGGTCATGATGCTCTTGTCTCTGATCCTCAGAAAAACCTAAACATTCTGGCTCAGAATCAGATAAAGCATCAATCTGCGCCTCACCCGCAGATGGTGGTATAGTCTTAGCATTCGACTGAGTGGAAGCACTTTTAGGAGCAGAGGCCTGCTCTGTATTGCGAGCCTGGGACTGAGGTAAAATTATGGAAGAAAGGTGCTGGGGGAGCAGTCTTAGCACATCCCTCAGCTTTAGAGGACACTTTAAGTGTTTCAGTTTTTGCTTTGCTTTTTCAGAGGCGGGTCGCTTAAGCCACAAGTGTTCTCCATGGCTGCCATTAAGACAGCAAAGAGGCGCGCACACACAAAAGCACACAGATAGCCTCTGATTTTCACCAAATAAACACTCAACTCCATTTGCCACACTGTGGACTGGGAGGAGGATTATAGAAATTCAGCCCCAGAGGTCTCCATTCGCCACTTCATGGACCAGGAGAAAAGGCAGGCAAAAACCTCACACCAAACTACACACTCTGTTTGCCACTCCGTGAACCGGATGTGGGGGGAAACAGAAGCCACACACACACTCCTTTTTTTTTTTTTTATAAAATTTTTATTGGTTTTACAAAAATTTTAAGAAAAACAAACAAACACTAAAAATGACAAACATACACATATAGTTTCAAACATATTTTCATAAACCTCTTTTCTTGGACTTCCCCATACCCCCCTCTCTGCATCCCAATGTCCATAATTCAACTAGCAACTCCCAATTGTTACTTTCCAATCTCTGTCATCTTAGTCCTCTTTTATATTTCTAACCTTATGTCCCTGTACCCCTTTGTTTCTGGAAACCACAACATTTTAGCATTCATTAAGTTTATAGTAGTCCTTAAGATAACTTTTAAATTTTCTCCATTCTTCTTCCACCGTCTCTTTTCGTTGGTCACGGATTCTGCCTGTCATCTCGGCCAATGTCATATAGTCCATCACTTTCATCTGCCATTCTTCCAGAGTGGGTAGATCTTGTGTCCACACACACACTCCTTGTCACAGCTGCCAACCAGGAGGATGAGGACAAGGGGCGGGCCCTCTGTCGCCGCCAAAACGAACCAGGAGGCAGGCAGGCAGGACTCAGTATCAAAAGCCAATAGAAGCAGGCAGGCAGGGACATAAGAGGAACGCTCACTCCATTGTTAGTGTAAAAACAGTGAACCAGGAGGAGGTGGCCAAGCTGTTTTAAAATTAGGGCAGGAGAATGCAAATGCCACACCAACAGCCACACAAGTAGCACACAACCACACACACACCGAAGCGGAATAAATAATTCTGGAAAAAATATCAATATAAGTAAACAACTAAGGAATAAAAGAAGGGTGGCAAATAAGCGGAACAACCAAACATAAAGAGCAATGGAAAGGGCCCCCCCTTTTTTGATGGAAAACACAATGCATGGACAAAGAACTGTACAGTAAAACTAAAACAATGATATGGGAAATCTAAAGGGAAAAGGGGGAGTTCAGAAACTAGTAACAACTTAGCTGAGTCGGGAGAGCCGGGAGGAATGTATTGTCTGCGCCTAGACAGGAGGAAAAGCTGAGGGAGTCCAGCCTACTTCTCATAAGTCTTTGCTCTTGTCTAGTGTGAACATGGTGAACACCCATTCCATTGGATACGACTCCCCATGAACTAAAATAATAATAAAGTTATTCATTGTAGGATGTACATGACTTGAATAGAAAAGGTTTCTAGTCTAACTAGGCTAGAGAAGGACAAGGCAGTCCTGCTTGTTCCTTTTCTCTCTCTGAAGATGGACTTCCGGGGAGGAATCATAGCTCCATCAAGGCTCCATTGATTGAGATAATTAGGTGGTGATTAACAGTAGCTACTGCTGACCACGATGCAGAAAAACTGTCTGCGGACAAATGTCGTCTCCCTCGGCCAGTGAAGCGAGATGAGCGCCGCAACCCCAGAGTCATTCGCGACTTAACTGTCAGGGGTCCTTTACCTTTAACAATAGCTACTGCCTATCATGGGACGCGGGTGGCGCTGTGGGTTAAACCACAGAGCCTAGGACTTGCCGATCAGAAGGTCGGCGGTTCAAATCCCCACGATGGGGTGAGCTCCCATTGCTCAGTCCCTGCTCCTGCCAACCTAACAGTTCAAAAGCACGTCAAAGTGCAAGTAGATAAATAGCTACCGCTCCGGTGGGAAGGTAAACGGCGTTTCCGTGCGCTGCTCTGGTTCACCAGAAGCGGCTTAATCATGCTGGCCACATGACCCGGAAGCTGTCGGCCAATAAAGCGAGATGAGTGCCACAACCCCAGAGTCGGCCACGACTGGACCTAATGGTCAGGGGTCCCTTTACCTTTACTGCCTATCATATTATCTCTGAGGGACAAAGATAAAATGAATTAACTTCCAATGCTCTGGAAGGGCTGCTTTCCCTGTGTGGGACTGCAAAATCTTCAAGGAACCTCGACAGGTGAGTGACCAGGGAGCAGAAGAACCACAATATTGTCCAAACACAACGTAATAGCCTTGGGGTCAGTCCTTAGGGCAAAGATCAGCTCAACCTGCCTCTCTACAATGATATCTGAAACTCCTATAAATTACTACTGATACTATCTGATCCAACGGCTGGCTTAAGAGGAGACACCACCAAGGGGCTTAAATCAAAGCAAAACAAAAGGCGTGTTTGAAATACGTGTACTGAAGAAAGTTTTTAAATAGTTAAGAGATTCTCCAACTCTTAGAAATTTTCATCTTAATTCATTCTGCTCTTAATCCTCTGCTTCACTGATGAATGTGCTGCTTGTAATGTGAAACTACATGGCTGCTCACTGGGAAAGTGAAATGTTTGGAATGTAACTTCCTGATAAGCAAAGACTGTGTGAATTTCAGAGTAGGCACTCAGTATGGTGAAAATACTGAAAAACACCTTCTGATTGTTAGTGTCATACAGCAATTACTGAATGAGCAATAGAAGAACTAAGAGTGGAGATGCATAAAATGAGAAATAGAAATTGATTGGACAAAGCTGAGGCTGGAGAAGATAAGTAGCCTTTGGGAAAGAATACTGATGGATGTTTGCCAGAGCATAGGGGATAAAATCAAACCCTGAGGAACCGCACATTGAAGGTTCCACAGGGCTGAAGAACACTCCCCAAGCTTAACGGAAATGTCCAACCAAGTAGGACCGGAAACACTGCAAAGTAGTGCCACCCACCCCAACTCGGACAGCCACTCCAGAAGGATACCATGGTCAATAGTATTTAAAGCCGCTGAGAGGTCAAGGAGAATTAACAGGCATACGTTTCCCTTGTTTCTCTCCCCACAGAAGCCATCACACAAAGCGACTGAAGCAATTTCTGTTCCAAAACTTAGAAAATCAGTTCCAACAGTAATGTTGTTGTATAGAAATAATTATTTGCCCCAATGACTGAGGTTTTGGGTAGCCAGGCATCTGGTACGCAGGCTGAGACCCTCCCTTACCACAGTCTCCCCAGAATGGTGCATGCTGTAGTTATCTCCCGCTTGGACAACTGCAATGTGCTCTGCGTGGGGCTACCTTTGAAGGTGATCCGGAAACTACAACTAATCCAGAATGTGGCAGCTAGACTGGTGAGTGGGTGAGGTCCTGTAAGACCTACATTGGCTCCCAGTAAGTTTCTGAGCACAATTTAAAGTGTTGGTGCTGACCTTTAAAGCCCTAAATGGCCTTGGCCCAGTATATCTGAAGGAGCGTCTCCACCCCCATCGTTTTGCCTCGGCACTGAGGTCCAGCTATGAGGGTTTTCTGGTCTTCTCACTGAAAGAAGCGAAGTTACAGGGAACCAGGCAGAGGGCCTGTGGAACGCTCTCCCATCAGATGTCAAAGACATAAACAACTATCTGACGTTTAGAAGACTTCTGAAGGCAGCCCTGTTTAGGGAAGTTTTTTATGACTGATGTTTTAAAAGGTAAAGGTAAAGGTACCCCTGCCCGTACAGGCCAGTCTTGCCAGACTCTGGGGTTGTGCGCCCATCTCACTCAAGAGGCCGGGGGCCAGCGCTGTCCGGAGACACTTCCGGGTCACGTGGCCAGCGTGACATCGCTGCTCTGGCGAGCCAGAGCCGCACACGGAAACGCCGTTTACCTTCCCGCTAGAAAGCGGTCCCTATTTATCTACTTGCACCGGGGGGTGCTTTCGAACTGCTAGGTTGGCAGGTGCTGGGACCGAACAACGGGAGCGCACCCCGCCGCGGGGATTCGAACTGCCGACCTTTCGATCGGCAAGCCCTAGGCGCTGAGGCTTTTACCCACAGCGCCACCCGCGTCCCTATGACTGATGTTTTAATGTATTTTTAATCTTTGTTGGAAGCTGCCCAGAGTTGCTGAGGAAACCCAGCCAGATGGGTGGGGTATAAATAATAAATTATTATTACTATTATTATTAAGCATGTATTGACTATTCTACTTCTTAATCAGAATAGATTTAAGAGATACTATAGAAAATGCCAGTCACAACTGAGAGTTTATAGCCTAAATGTCATAGAATTATTTTAATTGTTGGTAAAACAGTTAAACAGAGAGAAAAATGATTTCCAGATCACCATTTGGGCAAGTACTTCATATGCCGGAAAAACACCCGTTTAATAATCATTACTTGTCATTTCAGGGCAACAGAGGCCTTGGCTTTTATGGAGAAAAGGGTGACAAGGTAAATGGAATATTCTAATTAGTTTGCATTTCTATCAGAATATGATGAATACAGTTTTGAGTGATAATTCTTTGACTTGTGCCAGAAGCACAGCTGTTAGCAGTTAGAGAATTTGTGGTGCTTGCCCAGTGGCCTCTGAAAAAACATACAGGAAACATGAAATTGATGGCCCTTGCCTGTTTGTCTTCAGTAGCTGGTTATCATGTATGTATATATGATGTTTCTGAACATGGAATTTCTATTTAGCTTCAAAAGATGTATTCTATAATAATTTGTCTAGTCTTTCTTTAAAACCATCCAAGTGACTGCCCATCATGATATTTTGCAGTAGGGAATTCTACCAATTAGTGTAAAATTTTAAAGAGAAGACTTTCTCTCATTATTCCTGAATATACTCAGTTGGTAGAGCATGGTGCTGAAATCGCCAAGGTTGCCAGTTCAGTCCCCTTAGGGATAGCTTGCAGGGGGTTGGATGAGATCTTCAGGGTCCCTTCCAATTCTATGATTCTGTGATTTTATCTGCTGCCTTCCGGGATATCTTCAGGAAAAGAAAAGGCTAAGGAGTAAACACTACACAGATCCGGAATGGGGTCCCTAAGATGATTGGATGGCACCTTGTACACCTCCTTCCAGCACCTCTTGCAGACAATCTGGTGCCAAACGCCTTGCTCTGCTTTCCTGTGGACCCCATCCGGGAGGCTGAGAAGGGGGTCTTGTCATCTGGGCAGCCCAGAACCTCCAGACACAGTGCCCAGGCTTGTGCCCCGGGGAGGTCACTTCAGTGCTGCTAACATAGCAAAAAGAATATGGGAGGCAGCAGTTAGAATTATTGGTCTCTGCAGCCCTAGCAGGCATCCTGAATCTCCATTGGTTTGACTTCACCCCCGGAGGTGTACTCCATTGTCTTTTGAGACAGATAGATGCCAGCAACAAGAACTGTCATTCAAACTAACAGGATGAGCATGTAAGAACAAGCTAGTACTGTGAGACATGGAGAAAAATCTCTGTCCACACCATGCATAATTCTATAATTATTCATGATGTCCTCATAGTTATGTTTTCTAAAATCATTTAACTTGCTCATAGGGAAGAGATACAGGGGCTTTTGGATTCTGAACTGCAGTCACCCACAGTCTGCAAGGGCAATGGTCAGGGGTGATAGGAGTTGTAGCATAAACGAACAAATATAGAAACAGCATGTAATATATTAAGCTAAATTTATCTACAACATCAACCAAAATATAAAGAACATTGGAGAAATATAAAGAACAATAAAGAACATTGGAGAACCTAAAATAATAGGGCAGTGCATATATATAAAATACAATATCAAAAAGAGAAATATGTTAGACCTCAAAGGATCTTCTTTAGCAGGAAATTGTATGATGATTTAAAAGTGAAGCCACACCCAAAGTGAAACCCCAGGAAACAAGCAAACAAAAGTAACATTTATAGTACTTGAAGAGTTATAACGCAATTCTAGTTTTGTCACATGGAATCCTTCCTGAGATGAGGAGGCCAAAATACATTTGTTGTCCTTAGCACTTTGGTATATTTATAGCAGCAGATCCTCCAGCTTTTCAGATTTGAAATCAGTATAACATATGACTGTTCTCTTTATGGTGTTCATTCATAAACTGTGTTATTTTTACTGTTGTTAGCCACTCTGAGCCCGGCTTCGGCTGGGGAGGGCGGGATATAAATAATAATAATAATAATAATAATAATAATAATTATTATTATTATTATTATTATTATTATTATTATTATTATTATGGTGTAGTTCAAAATATGTATTACCACTTTTAAACCTTTATTTTACTTGTTGTTGACTATATTATTGTGGCTTTCCTGCAGGGTGATATTGGGCCCCCTGGTCTACCTGGGCGTCCATCAACAGGAGAGTTTGTCACTTCAACAGATGTAATTTCAAGTGAATATAAGGTAATAAGAAATCTTACAGAAAATTACTCCCAGTTATTCATTTCATAGAGTACAGAAACTAGCAAAGCATGTTTCCTGAGTGCTCTTATTCATCAAAATAGCAGGTGAATATTATCCTGTGGCCATATCTCATATGCTGTAAATGAAATAAAAGAATAATCTGGCTAGATTTCCTTCCAAAACATATTTTTAAATGAAACCCTAATCTTAAGAATTTAATATCTTTGTATTTTCTATTGTGATTAAATAATCACAGAATCATTCCAGAAATATTCTGTATCTTATACAGCCAAGATCTCTCCAAGTACAAGGTTTTACTCCAGAAATTTTGCTAGTTAAAATACATGTCAAGAAATGACTGACCAAAGATCTGTGTTCTGCCCTTATAGTGCTTTAAACAAAAAACAAAGAAGCAACCCTGCAACCAGACTGAATCATGGACTCCCCCTTTCCTTGCTTTAGCTGTGTGGGTGCTTTGTCCTTTAACTATGCATAGGGTCTTTTTCCGTGGTTCTCAGCAACAAAGTTTCTTCTTACATGTCCTAAGTCAGGGGTGGGCAAAATATAGGAGACCGAGTGCCCAAACTGCAACCCAAAGCCCACTTATTTATCAATTGCCAACACGGCAGTTTAACCTGTATATCTCATTTTTTTCTGTATGTTTCACGTTTCTTCTTTATGACTGCTGTTGTAATAAATAATCCTTCATAAAAGTTATTGCATTGCATTCTTCATTAAATTATCTTTCCGTTGATATATAATTTTATGGTATAACTCAGTGCTTTTTTCCTAAAAAGAATGTTTAGGGGTACTCTCATTTTGACTCAAGAAAATCACCACCGGGGGGGAATACAGCTCAAATTGGGGGAAATAAATAGAGTGAATTTCTTCTCCCTTTAAATTCACAAAATGTTTAGGGGTATGCATCCCTCTGCATCCCTACAGAAAAAAGCACTGGTATTACTCCAAATCAAAATGGTGTTAGGAGCCATCAAACATTTTTTCCAAGAGGTTCCACAATTTTGGCCACTAGTGTACACTGGAAGACTGCACTAAGAGCCACCCTCTCCCAATTTTTAATATAAGATAATAATGATTGTCTGCGTGTGCACATACAAATAAATAAATATAAATAAATAAACCCAACCAGATGGGCAGGGCATAAATATATTATTATTATTATTATTATATTTTGCTATTTCTTCGGCTGCCGTTTGATCACAGCCTCCACAGAATGAATTTCTCTGTTGGCTTCTGCGGGAAAGCCCAGTGAACATGTAAACTCAGCAGCCCCTTCTTAGGTTGCCATCTTTATATGCTTACTGACCTGGGAGTTATGTCCTGCTGAACTTAAGGAGGTTTACTCCCGAGTAGGAAAAACAGACTAGTGGGAGGCCCTGGTGCATTAAAAGTCAATGCCTGCTCAGCCCCTTGATGCTCGCCAGGCCCTGGTGCTGCAGGCTTTGAACAGCGCACACGAGCCCTCCTCTCCTCCTCCGCCCCCCCCCCCGCACGGAAGCTACGGCCCTGCTGGGACAACAGTGCGCGTGCCCACAGAGAGGGCTCTGAATGCCCTCTCTGGCACACATGCCATAGGTTCGCCACCACTGGATTAGGATCTGACAGTACATCTCCAAGCAATTCGAAGTAGACAATAAAGGTTTTTTATCAGTCAACAACACAATGATTCTCCACCTCCCCATGTTATACTGCGGAAATGAAAAAAGCTGGCTGGGGTGTGAGGTGATAACAAGGGATGGATTTGTTTTCTGGAAGGACTGTAAGTAACATTCAGTTCTTAAACTCAGCAAATTAGTGGACTCAGAATTCCTGGCTCTGATTCCTGGTAGATCTCAGGGTTCTGGTAAAAAACAAAGCAGATTCCACATGTCTGCTCTAAATCTGCATGACATGCATCCAGAGAGAGAGTTTTGTGCCTTCGCATCTGAGTGATGAATTTTGACCAGGATTTACATGCAGTTGTGGGTGTGTTTGGGTACAGAATTCATTTGAGTCCTATGCTCCTTTGTTGCACTGTGGGTGGAGTAGGAAGAGACAGAGGCAATGTTTTGCTTTCCATTAGGTTCAGCAAGATTCTTTTATTTTATAATACCTTCTCTCCTCATGTAATGTAATGCCAGTATTTGGCTCTGCATGCAAGGATTCAAACTGGGTACTGTCTGTTCCTAGTACTGATCCATTTTGGCTCCTCTGCTGGTGGCATTGAATACTGACATTATACCAGCACTGGGAACACACTGTCAGTGTATCAAAGATGCACTGTCACAGGTTACTTGCATCCAAATATTCTATCCAGTGTAAATTTAGCCTAGGACAGAACTCTAAATTTGATTTTTGAATAATACAAATGTCTTCCTCAAGCATTAACTGTTCTTTTTTATATATTGTTAGGGTGAGAAAGGAATAAAAGGAATTAGGGGAGAAGCTGGAATTCCGGTAAGTACACAGAAAGAAATGCAGCACAATTATACCCCTGTGTTCAATATAATCAGTAGTATGTCAATGGGAAAGAGCCAAGGCACCATACGCCTTACTTTGATTCATCCATTTTGTTTCTCCCTTTTGAAATGGATTGGTTATGATCACCAGGTTGTACACTGTTTTCATTTTGGGAGAAGACAGGAACAAAGTCTGTGTCAAGCAGTTCTGGCTTCTCTCTGCCACCCAGTAGCATTTCTCCATCTTCTCCACACGGAGGAACTATTACTTCTTTGTTCTTCCTCCTGCTTTGAATATAGCCGAATAAACCTTTAGAAATTATTTTTAACCACTCTTGCAAGCCTGAGCTCCTTCTGAGCTTTGGCCTGCCTGCAATCACATTTCTTAAAGTCAGAGTGCATGTCCGACTACACTCAGCTTTCCCTTTCCTTTGTATAATGTATCCCAATAGGAGGTGGCCCCCTCTCAGGTAAACTCAGGCACACTGTCGCATGTACACAGCCCCCCTCATCTGCTGATTTATGCAGATCAGCTGATCTGGGACAGGGCCAGTCCACCCATAAGGAAAGGTGAGGCTGCTGGATCGACAGGGGCATCACCCGCTGCAGCCGCCACAGTAGTAGCAATGACTGTGGTGCAGTCCTTGGAGGCTGGATCTGCCACTGCCTCAGTGCCCCCCCCCCCGTGCCACCTCTACAGTGGCCTCATGACGAATAGGAGGGGCTGCCCTCTGGGGTCTCCTGGGCTCTGCATACATCCAGTGTGATTAAGAGGGGGCCTCGTCTCCCCCCCAAAACAATCACCTTTGATTCCCACTTCAGCTGTCGAATAAGGTTGATTTTATTCCCCTCTTGTTTCTGATGTAGATCTTTATTGCCCACTTGTTCCTGATGTGGATCTTAACTCACCCCTTTTTTGCTGGTGGGGGTGGCAGCACCATTTTGTGGTTTCCCTCAAGTGCCAAAGCATCTTGGGCCAGCTCTGAGTTTTATCAAAGGATTTATGTGATTAGGAGGAGAGGGCAGATGGCACCCAGATTAGCAAAGTGGGCTCTGTGCATTCCACCACTGCGGTTACTGAAATGATGTTGGTTTTAACCTTTTGCTGACACCTCCAAAATCAGTGGGGTCTTTGTGGGACATAAAAAGTTCAGGCGGGAATGGATGAGGCCTCCACCTGATCCACCTTTCTCTTACAATGAAATTGTCAACCTGTTGCAGTCCAGTATTGCCTTCATTGTTCTCCCATGCATGTTCAGACCTGAGTTGCAGCCATTTTTATAATAAAATGCAATTACAGCACCAGGCGAAACATGATTGAGACTTTTAAGGGCTCTGGTGTCTGTTATTAAATATGTTCTGTTCTTTCATTCAACTAATTTTATTAATTGTTGGATATACATTGGTGGTTTGTGATTAATAGCCTCTTAGTTGCCCCTTCATTAGTTCATTTTGTTTGCCACAGCATTAGTTTCTGTTCCTACATGAGGAGATTTTAATTGCGGTTTCCTCCATTGTTTATGGAGCTATTTCACTGTTAAAAATTATTAAAGTAGAGGAGGATCTATTTCATAAAGGGAAAGGGAAAGCATGTGGGATCCTCACTATCTTGATGCACTACTGTACCAGATCCCACCACTAACTCCCAATTAATATGTAGCAGATTCACCCCTCTAACTGCCCCCAATTAAATATAGCAGACCCATCTCACAGTATGCCAATTAAATGAAAGTCTACAATTTACCACAGGTCTTGTGTGAGGGAAAACCTAGTAATTTCAAGTCTTAGGCAGGAGTTGATCAAACAAGAAACGTTTTATTTACAAAAAGTTTGTGAAACAAATTTGAGTCAGGAGACGTGTTCTTTCAGGTAGAAGTTAATTTATTACTTAAACTAAGTATAAAGATGTCACAGGCTTAAACACAACACTACAGCACAGCTACTCTTAAATTCCCTTTACTCATAATCTGTTGTTACACTTCAGTTTCTGTTACTGCATTTTAGGTCCTTATGCTTAGTTCAGGCAGATGCTTAAGGTCATTCCTTTTAACACAGTTTATTAATTTGGTTCCTGAGCAAAGGAGCACTTTCCCTCAGTTCCCCTCTCTTAGCAATCCCACGACTGAGGTATTTTCAAGTAGTACAACAGACCCAGGGGGTCCCCTCCCCCTTGTTCCTGGCTTAGGGGTCTTCTTTGCCAAGAAGAGAGCAATGCTCCCTGCGCTCCTTCCGGGGCTAGAAAGGGCTTTGCTTAGCTTCCCGTTTGCTAGTAAATCGGAAGTAGTGTGTCCCAAAACGAGGCCTCTCTGACAAGTGGGTCATCAAGATGAAAAGTCTGGAAAGCTCTGGCCTAGAAGATCTCTCCCCTCCCGCCTGGAAGGAGACCCCGCTTTCCTCTGTCTTCCCCCATCTTCTTCTCCCTCTCCTGGCTCAGACTCAGCCCTCCAGTTAGTTCCTGTCAGAAGACTTTCCCCAGACCCTCCACCCGCTCTTCCTAGCCAAGCTGCGAGGCTCCTTCCTCTGGCTAGAGAGAGTCTCCTCCCAGCGAGCGGATGTGCCACTTGGATCAGAGCCAGTTCTCCCTCAGTAAATCCTCTCCTCATCCCAACCAAGCCCTGTCCAACTTCTTCCTCAGAAACAGCGCCTGTTATTTTCCCTCTGAAAGGGCTGCTCTGCCCCTCCCCTCTGGCAGCCAATCCGAGAGAGGCTCTTGCCCTCTGCTGGAATTTGGAGGCGCTTTATCACCCATCACAACTTCCTATCTCTATGCAAAGTTCTTCCTGCTTGGCTCAGTTGTAATATAAGCAGGACTGGAGAAAACTGCTTTAAAGCAGCAGCAGACAGCAAAGCTCACTGGGGAGGCTTCCCTCCCACACTCTTTTTTGTTGTAAAAGGGAGGCCTGTGCTTTAAATGTGAACAGGACAAACATACGCTTTAGAGAGTATGTTTGGCCCATACTTGTTCATGGAAATGCTCTCTCTGCTATTGTCAAGATCCTCTCCATGCAATTTGATTGTTGGCATTCATCTGTCTTGAGAGACAATGGAGTATGACTTCTGGGGCGAAGTCAAACCACTGCATTCATAGTACAAGCCTGGCCTGTATGTCTGGAGGTCCTAGGCGGCCCAGACAACAGGACCCATCTCTCAGCCTCACCAATGGGGTCCAAAGGAAAGCAGAGTTCCAGTGGTGCCTCGCAAGACGAAATTAATTCGTTCCGCAAGTTTTTTCTTCTTGCGAGTTTTTCGTCTTGCGAAGCACGGTTTCCCATAGGAATGCATTGAAAATCAATTAATGCGTTCCTATGGAGACCGCCTTCAGACCAGGTCCAGGGACAGTCTGTCCCCAGACCTCTTCTGAAGCCTGGCGGGGGGAGAAGGACTTTTCTCCCCACCGCCAGCCTTCAGAACAGCCTTCTGAAGCCTGGCGGTGGGAAGAAAAGCCCTTCTCCCCCCGCCAGCCTTCAGAAGAGTTCCCGCAGGGCTGCCTAGGCTGCGGATAGCAGCCTGCTGCCCGGTGCGAGGCAGGCATCTGCAGCTTGGGGAGCCCTGCAGGAGTTCCCCGCAGGGCTCTCCAAGCTGCGGATAGCAGCCTGCTGCCCCGCACGAGGGGCGCTCTTTAGCAGAGCGCCCCTCGCGCGGGGCAGACATTCACAGCTTGGGGAGCCCTGCAGGACTTCCCCGCAGGGCTCTCCAAGCTGCGGATAGCAGCCTGCTGCCCCTCGCGTGGGGCAGACATTCGCAGCTTGGGGAGCCCTGCAGGACTTCCCCGCAGGGCTCTCCAAGCTGCGGATAGCAGCCTGCTGCCCCGCACGAGGGGCGCTCTTAAGCAGAGCGCCCCTCGCGCGGGGCAGACATTCACAGCTTGGGGAGCCCTGCAGGACTTCCCCGCAGGGCTCTCCAAGCTGCGGATAGCAGCCTGCTGCCCCTCGTGTGGGGCAGACATTCGCAGCTTGGGGAGCCCTGCAGGACTTCCCCGCAGGGCTCTGCAAGCTGCGGATAGCAGCCTGCTGCCCCGCACGAGGGGCGCTCTTTAGCAGAGCGCCCCTCGCGCGGGGCAGACATTCACAGCTTGGGGAGCCCTGCAGGACTTCCCCGCAGGGCTCTGCAAGCTGTGGATAGCAGCCTGCTGCCCCGCACGAGGGGCGCTCTTTAGCAGAGCGCCCCTTGCGCGGGGCAGACATTCACAGCTTGGGGAGCCCTGCAGGACTTCCCCGCAGGGCTCTGCAAGCTGCGGATAGGGGTAGCAGGCTGCTATCCGCAAGCTGCGGATAGGGGCAGCAGGCTGCTATCTGCAGCTTGGAGAGCCCTGCGGGGAAGTCCTGCAGGGCTCCCCAAGCTGCGAATGTCTGCCCCGCGCGAGGGGCGCTCTGCTTAAGAGCGCCCCTTGCGCGGGGCAGCATGCTGCTATCCGCAGCCTAGGCAGCCCTCCGGGAACTCTTCTGAAGGCTGGCGGGGGAGAAGGGCTTTTCTTCCCACCGCCAGCCTTCAGAACAGCCTTCTGAATGTTGGCGGTGGGGAGGAAAACCTTCCTCCCACCGCAAGTCTTCAAAACAGGTCCGGGAACAGAGGAGAAGCGCTGCGCGCCTTCCCCTCTGTTCCCAGACCTGTCCTGAAGGCTTGCGGTGGGAGGAGGGCTTTCCTCCCCACCGCCAACATTCAGAATGCTGTTCTGAATGTTGGCGGTGGGGAGGAAAAACCCTCCTCCCACCGCAAGCCCCGGGAGCGCGCCTTCTCCTCTGTTCCCGGACCTCCCACCACAAGCCTTCAGGACAGGTCTGGGAACAGAGGAGAAGGTGCGCTGCGCTTCCCCGCTGTCCCAGGAGATTTCCCTATGGGCTTTCGTCTTGCGAAGCAAGCCCATAGGGAAATTCGTCTTGCGAAGCCTCTAAAAATCGGAAAACCCTTTCGTCTTGCGGGTTTTTCGTTTAGCGAGGCATTCGTCTTGCGGGGTACCACTGTATATGTTTGGTTGCAGGAGTTGCCAGAAGGATCAATGCGTACAATTTGATTATCGTGCTAAATCTAATTGTGATGTTAAATCAGAGCAAATAGTTCTTTCTTTCTTTGTTAGGGTCATCATTCACTTTCAGCAGAAAAGGGAGAGGAAGGAATAACAGGCTTTACAGGACAAAGAGTAAGTATCTGGTCAAAATAAAGAGCAAATTGTTTGCCATTCTCAATATGATATTTTCCCTGTCATTCTACCAGACCATCAGAGACTGTCACAATTAAATGTTACATTTTGGGTAGTGTGGATTTAGAAAATGCATCCGGTCAAATTTTATTTTGGGTGATACTGTTGGTTCTGGGTTTTTACCATATTTGGCATCAGAAACGAATTCCCCCCATGCTGGGATAGCATGAGACCCTTAGTCTAAGGCTTGCGAGTTCAAATAATGGGGTAGAAATTAATTATTGTTGTTGTTGTTGTTGTTAAAGCCCCCCGTTAGTACCCTGGATTGCAGAGGGTTGGACTAGATGGCTCTTGTGGTTCTTTCTAACTCTACAAGGTGGCTGTCAGAGCTGCCCCAGGTCCCAGCTCACAGAGGACCAACGCCAATCCGTTGTTATATTAAATAGTCTTTATTGAAGTTCAGTTTCTCATTTACAGCCACGGCGCGCAGCTCTACGTCTTAAACTCTAGACCGCCGAAGCTCCGTCTGAGTCTCCTCCCCCCAGACACCAGTTTAAGACCCTAGCCCTGCTCCACCTCTTTCTCTGCTCCCTCTTCCTCTGGGTCCGCCTGTCCGCCGGGGTTTTCCCCTTTCTAGACACTTCTGATGCTGACTCCCCTGAGTCTTCCCCCTCCCTCCGGCGGGCTTTTGGACCTGGTTCCCAATCCGGGCTTTCTGCTGTCCCGCGCGCCTGTACATTTGAACTTGGCGCGCGCACCCAGCCTGCCACCTTCCTTCTGACTGTTATACTGCTCCTGTCGCTGCTTGCCGGAGGAGACGCTGACTCTGACCTATGGGACTCTTCCCCCCCACTACGCTCCGGTGGGGAAGCTGGCCCTGATTTCCAGCTACTGCTCTGGGAGTCTCCGCTGGCCCCCTGCTTCTGGTGTGTCCCCCCTGGGACCCCCCTTGCCCTGGCCATCGGCGCCCCCTTCTGGGAATCTTCTGATTCACTGGCGAGGCTCATGGAATCTCTCGGGTCACTGTCATTCTGCCCTCCGCTGCCCTCAGATTCTTCCCCTTCGCTCTCCATTTCCTCTCTCCCCTGCGCCTCTGCTCCTGAGCCCCTGACAGTGGCTTCCTCACTATTGACTTTCAGGGGAAATAGAAAAAACATTCCTGTTCACCAGGGCATTTGATGACTGGTAATTACACAACAAATGTGAAATTAGTAACTATGAGGACATGTATTTGTATATGTTTTTTAGTTCTAACTTATTTTTAAATGGTTTTATATGATTTTGTTTTAGATTGTTCTGCTTTAACATTTTGATAGTTACTACCCTGGGGATGTGGGTGGCACTGTGGGTTAAACCACAGAGCCTAGGACTTGCCAATCAGAAGGTCGGCGGTTTGAATCCCCGCGACGGGGTGAGCTCCCGTTGCTCGGTCCCAGCTCCTGCCAACCTAGCAGTTCGAAAGCACCTCAAAGTGCAAGTAGATAAATAGGTACCGCTCCGGCGGGAAGGTAAACGGCATTTCCGTGTGCTGCTCTGGTTCGCCAGAAACGGCTTTGTCATGCTGGCCACATGACCCAGAAGCTGTATGCCGGCTCCCTTGGCCAATAAAGCAAGATGAGCGCTGCAACCCCAGAGTCGGCCACGACTGGACCTAATGGTCAGGGGTCCCTTTACCTTTACTACCCTGGGCTCCTGTGGGAGGAAGGACAGGAAAATAAACAAACAATCAAATAAATAAATAAATAAATAACCAACCATGATTTCATAGGGTTTGCCGGGAATCAACGGTCTCACTGGAACAGAAGGGGATGTGGTAAGTTTGTAGCTCTGAAATCAGATTGTGGCTTGGATCTTGAAATAAGGAACTAGCTGGAGGGGAAATTCTCATTCCATCTCCTTCCCCTCTCCATTGTGCCCTCCCAAGGTGAGGGGAAGTGGACTTAGCTAAGCCTGGCAGGACAGCTTACTGTATGGTATTAACCTCTTCATGCATTCATTAGACTTTTGCATGTTGGTTATATGAGGCTGTGTGGTTATCCCACACAGATTGGGTGAAAACAGTTCAAGTGCCCTGTGGAGCTGCTCCTTTAGCAGAGCCAACAAAATGGTCGTAGTTCCCACCTCTTTCTCTGCTGCAGTGCATACTTGTGCAATATCCAGAAAGTTTATCTTAAAAAGGTGACAGCGGCAACTAACAAATGGGGGGGGGAGGAGAGAGTTTAGAGAGTGAATTTAGGTGAGAGGGGAAGCATGAAAGATTGTCTATGGAGTTTTGATAAAATCATGAAAGTACTTTCAATTGTTTTGAACTGTATTTCAGGGTTTCCCAGGACCTGATGGCTTCCCTGGCATACCTGGTCAAAAAGGAACTAAGGTAGCTTGTTATTCTAATATGTTGCTTGCACAATATTAATTCCAGGGATGGAGCAAGTTGTATAGAAGGACTCTTTTCAAATTCTGTGCTTCATTGGTCAATAATCCCAAGTGTTGTGGCCTGGTGAAGGTGAGAAACACCTTGTAGGGGATCACCTGTGCACTCCTTCATTCCTTCACTATACTCCGGACCCCATAGGAAAGCCCAAGAGAGCCTGGCCAGTCATGGGACCCAGGCAAGAGGTACAACAACGGCATAGCACCCAAGCACAGATGGAAGAGTGGGGCTTGGGTAAGCCAGACAATCCCAGTATGCCAAATAAAACCAAACCTGGACATTCCAGGCAGGAATGAAGATGCAGCCCACATGTCTACTGCAATGGAGGGGGTTGGCCTGAGTGTCCATGGAAGGAGAGACCTGCCAAGAACAAGCTGGAGGGATGTCAGTGGGTTGGTTCATACAGTCAATGTTAGCTGTATTTAATAAGTGATAGTTAAAGCTCAGGCATCTGGCAGACAATCACTTAAACAGAATTGTTAAAAGCACCAGTGAGAGTTGCTGAGCCTGGAATGCAGCTGAATGTTTTGCCGCTCTTCTCTCTGTAGCTTCTGGGTATTGACAGCTGCTTAAGGAGAAGGTCCAGGGTCACACATAATCCAGTAGTAAATGTCCAAACCAACTGCAAACATTAACTTGAAAGCAACTCTTAACCATAGTTAATAAAGCATAGTTAAGATGCTGGGCTAGGTTCACAAATAACGCTAAATCATGGTTTAATAAACAGTGGTTGAAAAAAGCATGTGTCAGGGGTGCCTCAGGTCCCAGCTCACAAAGGACCAACGCCAGTGTCTCTTTATATACAAAAGTCTTTATTGAAGTTCATTGTTGGTTTTACATCCGTGGCGCGCAGCCCTACGTCTGTAACTCTAGACCGTCGAAGCTCCGTCTGACTCTTCCCCTCCCCTACACCAGTTTTAACACCCGAGCTTTGCTCCACCTCTTCCTCTGCTCTCTTCTCCTCTGGGTCCTCCTGCCCCCTGGGGTCCCACCCCTCCTGGACTCTTCGGAGGCGGATTCCTCTGACTCCTCCCCCTGTCTCCGGCGGGCTTTGGGACCTGGCTCCCAATCTGGATTTTCTGCTGACCCGCGCGCCTGCACATTTGAACTTCGCGCGCGCCCAGCCGGCCACTTTCCTCCTAACGGCTACACTGCTCCTGTCACTGCTTCCTCCTTCGGAGGGGCTGGCTGGAACTGACCTCCGCTCCGCCCCTCCACTATCCGACGGAGGCGTGGTCAGTTCTGACTCTCTCTCTCTCCCTGCTGGAGTGAACGCCGGTTCTGATCTGTGGGCTTCTTCCCCCCCGCTACGCTCTGGCAGGGAAGCTGGCCCTGATCTCCAGCTGCCGCTTGGGGACTCACCGCTGGCCCCCCTTGCCCTGACCCTGGGCGCCTCTTTCTGGGAATCTTCTGATTCACTGGAGAGACTCATGGAATCTCTCGGGTCACTGTCATACCCTCCTAAGCTCCCCTCAGATTCCTCCCCTTCGCTCTCCAACGCCTCTTTCCCCTTTGGCTCTGCCCCTGAGCCCCTGACAGCATGGTTTAAGTTTTATGTATGAACTATGCCTGTGAGAGTTCCATGAACTGCCCTGTGTGCTGTGGAAGATACGTTTGTACCCTGGTGCCGACTGCTTTCCTTACCAGCAGAGTCCATCCCAGGGTGGAGCAAGTGGTGTCCAAGACAGCGCAGCTTGATGAAATTGGAACTTTTTATGTTACATTACTCTTTATTTATTTTGCCCCCCAAAGGCCCCTAAGTAAACCACAAATTCAAATACGAACAATACAAATGAGAAAACTTCAAGATAAGAATATCTTAACATTTCAAAAAATGTTTGGGGTTGTGGGGTCAGGCTGAGGCCTTCCTTGATGGTTCCAGCCCAGTCTCTCCCCTGTCGCAGACCTCACCCTCTTACCTCCTGCCCTTGCCATTCTTCTTCCACTCTACCAGCAATGTGAAAACACCTGCTGTGTCTGAGCTCCAAATTCAGACTCCATTTTATGTTAGACTTAAGTATGTCTTTTTAACTGAATTACCATTTTAAGCCTGCCTGAACAAAGCTGCTGTATTTGTTACTCTTCAACAAGTATTCCGAGTGAGTAAATGTTATTTTTTACCTTTTACAAGAATAAAAAGAAAAGAAAAAAGAAATACAGCATTCATCTTTAAGGAAGATAGGAGGTTTCAATGTGTTGCTCACTCCAGAGGAGATGACACTCCTAAAATATATTTATTTTAGCAATAATTTACTTTGGTACAGACATTCTAACTCACATGGATCATGTGCAGAAAGATGACAAAGAGAAATTACAGAAATTTGTGGGGAATGAGAGGCAATCTTAGACATAGTCCTGTGACATGAGGGAGGATGTTTGTATTTATTTTATTTGTTCAGAATAAGGAAAGTATTTTACATGCAACCACAAATAAAACCAGTGAACTGGATTTGCATTTACACAGGGAGAGCCAGGAGACAAAGGTGCTCAAGGACCACCAGCTTATGCTCCATATCCCAAACTAATAAAAGGTATTGCTTTTCAATCCTTCTTCTGATTTTTTTTAAAAATGAGGTGATAGTAGTCGTATCTTGATAAAAATTCCACAGGTGCCAGCACAAAATGGTTGTAATTGGTGTGAAGAAAAGAGGTGCTGGCACTCCATGCCATTGAGTACAGTCACAAAACCCCTTCTTTTAGTGCAGCTGAATATGTTTGATGCATCCTACTATTTTCATGCAGTAAAGTGGGGTGGGAGTTGTGACATGGCTGACTCCTCTTGGGGCAACTAACCTTCCTCAATGTCCACTGCTTGGGAGGCATGTGCATTGCTTTGGTTTAAGAAGGCAACATCCCTATTAGAGTACATTGTGTGGCAATATGAAGTACTTGCCAGGGTTATTAGTGCAGTGGCCAGAATAAACTTTCCTGGCTCTTACATATGCAAGGATGGCATACTAAGCCAAACCATGACGAAAAGTAACTGAACGGTCCAAATCCAGAAAATGGAGCTTATTGCGGGTGAGTTTAATAACTCAATGTGGGCACAGAGCTGTGTACCCATATCCTCCCCACTTGTCACAGTCCATGCCACAATGGGGAAACCAGCATTTCCCAAGGTGTGGAGAGGACTCAGTGACATTAGATTTGGGGGACTGGCGGGAGATGGAGAAAGCGAGTTACAGTATGGACTACAGAAACTTAATGAATTCCTCTTCATGGACCTTGATCCAGCTGGGTTATGGTTGTGAGGGTGTTGTGCTCTGGGAATGTGTAGTATGCAAGCAAAAATGGGTAGTGGCTAAATGCCCATTTGGGAGACGTGACAAATCTCTATATCTGTGTCCTTAAGCCTGAAATCCAATCTGTACTTTGGGGATATTTTCAGGTGCAAGAGGTGACTGGGGACTCCCTGGTGCTCCTGGGCCCGAGGGTGACCGGGGCGAGCAAGGCAGTCCTGGAAGTGCTGGTCCACAAGGATCATCAGATGGTAATTTACAGCCACTTTCTTACTCCAATATTGACTTGGGAATGGTAAATTCACTTTTTTCACATTCACATTATTTTTATTTCATTCTCATATTTGTTGCTCTTAACTGAATCGCAGCAAACAATTATGCAGCTTGAATCATCTACAGCAGACATGTCCAACGCATCGATTGTGCATTGGATTTTTGTTGATCGTGACCAAGGCCTCAGCACGCCTCCGCCCACCGCCCTCTCTCATGGTTGCCAGGTGCCCTCAGCACATGCTTAGCCACAACTGGAGCAACTCCGCATGGGCAGTCAAGGCTACATTTAGCCAGGCTGCTGCAGCAAGTGCTCAGGCTGGCGCTGGCCATCTCAAGCATCCAGCTGCAGGCTTTCCCCAACAGCCAGTCAGGTGACTGGCCCTGAAAGGCGAGAGGTGCCTGCCTCAGCCCCCTACAAGCTGCAGCCCCGGGGCAGGGAGGCAAAGATGAGGCGCACAGGCTCCGCACAGGCTGCAGCGCTGCAGAGGCACCCAGTCAGCCCCTGCAAGCCAAGCCCCAGGGCAGGGAGGTGCGTGGACTCCACCTGGCCTGCAGTGCTGCAGAGGGAGCCACGTGCAGGGCAGCGTTTGAGAGAGACAATTACATCCCTAATCCCCCTCCCCCCACCCGCTGGTTCCCATGGAAAGAAAACGCCCTCTCCTTCCTAGTTGTGAGTGGATGCAGAACTTTCCTCACCTTTCCAGCTCCAGCCTAGCTGTGTTTACTTGAAAGTAATCTGCTGCCCCCCCCCCAGCTCTTCGTTTGGTAAAGGAGGAATTGGACATTTCGGAGCGTGTTGGCTTCCCATGTGCGCCAAGGGCCCTGGGAGGGGGCTGGTGTGGGAGTAATAATTTGTTATTTTTTTCACCATCATCATAATTTATTATTTATACCCTGCCCATCTGGCTGGGTTTCCCCAGCCAAATATAATATATTTAAATTGAAGAATGACAATGGGAGAGTGTGGTAAATCACTGCCAGTTTTTTGTATTGGATAGATCGCAGCCTAATGGAAGCTGGACATGCCTGACTTCATATCAGCTCGGGCAGTGATTAACTTAGAAAAATAATGAAAAACACCTTTTGCATTCTGTTTTTGTAGGAATTAACCTCACTGTACCCATTAGGAATGGAATGGTTTTTTACAGAACTATGATTCTACCATTATTCACAATCTATACTTTCTTTTTTTAAAAAAGAGGCGCTTACTATTAGTTAATAGACAATGCTTCAGCTGAATTATAGCTAGGACCAATGGACATTATGTTATCTCTGAAGTGCTAATACAGTGCTAAGTGCTAATCTTTGTAAAAGATTGTGTAGCAGTTGCATGGTAAAGAAATATAACCCAGAGGCATTGGAGAGAGCAGTGGACTGACTTTAGGGTTACTGAGTTGTTGTTTGCAGTTTGGCTTTGGTCAAGTCACTTCGCCTCTCTTTCCTTTGTGAGTAAATGAAAACCCTAGTTTACCTATTCCATTCTTATTACTATTCTGATCAAAGATTTAGTGTCTGGGTGTTGACAGGTATTTGAAGTACATAATTGTGCGTATCCCTGCAGCCTTGACATATGATATCTTTTTTTTATCTAGAGCATTCTTAAAATAATGCATACCTACCTGCTTTTCTCATTTCAGATAACTCTGTGGGAAGAGGTTTGCCTGGAGAAATGGGCCCCAAAGGCCTGACTGGCGATCCAGGTTTCGCAGCTGTTTATCCAGGTCCTCCAGGATTAGATGGCGATCCTGGATTACAAGGATCACCAGGTGTCCCTGGCCCTCCAGGAAGTCCAGGTAGGAACCCAGAACTTTTTAAAGTAATTAACATTAAAAAGTTACATGATAGTGCTGACAATAATATTCTGGGAAATTTCCTATTTAAGCATTTTGAAACTATTTGAAAGACCAGTGAGAATTTTAAATTTTCCACTTGATAATGAATCCAGAGTTTGGATTTGGATTTGATACCCCGCTTTATCACTACCCGAAGGAGTCTCAAAGCAGCTAACAATCTCCTTTCCCCTCCTCCCCCACAACAAACACTCTGTGAGGTGAGTGGGGCTGAGAGACTTCAGAGAAGTGTGACTAGCCCAGGGTCACCCAGCAGCTGCATGCGGAGGAGCGGAGACACGAACCCGGTTCACCAGATTACGAGACTACCGCTCTTAACCACTACACCACACTGTCTCTCAGAGTGTGAAGGAACAATACTTTTCTGTTTTGTACTGGTTGCATGGACTGTTGCATGTCAAAGCCCCAAGCCACCCCATGAGAATAAAGACATACGGACACAGAATTTTAGGTTAATGTTAATGGGCAAAATTTAAGCCACAACTTTATTGGTTACAGAATGTGAGCGGCATTGGCATCAACTGACTATATCTGACTCCTTCCCTCCTTGCAGGGAGTCTGGTAAGGGTAAGCCACCAGTAGGGGGAGCCCTGCTGATGTGGATCGACTCAAGCATCCCCTGGGTTCCCGCTGGAGTTGTGGCATGGCCCTAGCCCCTCCCCGGGCTTCGGACGAGATCCACACCCCAGGATTCCTTTAACGGAATACCCTTGAGCACGGGAGGGGCAGGTGATGGTCGCACCTCCCCTCCCCCAAACATTGCTATTCCAATGCCTGAACGCCACACAAACCCAAAGCTCGGCGCCAATACCCTCACACCTGCAACCAACCTTTTATGCCTTTGATAATATCGGCCAACTAAACATTTTCGCCGTCGGAAAGATGAATGCCAACTACACGGTAAAGGGCCTTGTAAGCAATTCCTGGGTGGCCTCGTTGTAAGCAATTCCTGGGTGGCAAATCACCTCAGGCAGGCAGGCGGGCAAGCAGGCAAGCAGGCAGGCAAGCAGGCTCAGGACAGACTGGGCAGCGGTCCTGGGTGTCCCTCTCTCACTCCTCCACACATGCCCTCCCTCTTAAAGTGGGATGCTCCCCACTCTATGTCACTTATGCATGTGGGGACAATATTCCCCCCTCCCATAATTTTTCTTGAGATTTAAAATTGAGATCGAATAAACAAAAATGGATATTCCAGACATATTGAACTCCACAGTGCCTTTAAAGGAAGGCCACAGACACAGAACAGAACAGACTCTATTTGAGGATCTCTCCCTCATTACAGTTGATCAGGTATATGAAGACGAGCAGCAAAGTCAGTCCTCAGGGAATATGCAGGCAACCTTGGAACGGACAGCTCACGGAAGAACCCCGACCAAACCTAAGAGGAGGTGTGTAGTGGTGATAGGGGATTCCCTACTGAGGGGAACAGAAGCAGTGATCTGTGGGCCTGACAAGATGTCTCGGAAGGTGTGCTGTCTCCCCGGAGCTAAGATCCAAGATGTAACTGAACGACTGCAAGGAATCATAAAACCCACTGACAAATACCCCTTCCTCTTGGTTCATGTGGGAACCAATGACACTGCAAGCAATAGCCTCCAGAAGATCATAATAATAATAATAATAATAATAATAATAATAATAATAATAATAATAATTTATTATTTGTACCCCACCCATCTGGCTGGGCTTCCCCAGCCACTCTGGGCGGCTTCCAAAAGAATATTAAAATACTATAATACATCAAACATTAAAAGCTTCCCGAAACAGGGCTGCCTTCAGATGTCTTCTAAAAGCCTGGTAGTTGTTGTTCTCTTTGACATCTGGTGGGAGGGTGTTCCACAGGGAAGGTGCCACTACCGAGAAGGCCCTCTGCCTGGTTCCCTATAACTTGGCTTCTCGCAGTGAGGGAAGGGTGGAATGGGTAGAACGATGGGGGTGCAGACGCTCCTTCAGATATACTGGACCAAGGCCGTTTAGGGCTTTAAAGGTCAGCACCAACACTTTGAATTGTGCTCGGAAAGAGACTACGAGGCTCTGGGCAGGAAATTGAAGCAATTAAATGCACAAATTGTCATCTCATCTCTCCTCCCAGTTGAACGACGTGGCCCAGGGAGAGAGGGAAAAATAGTGGAAGTGAACAGCTGGCTTCGCAAATGGTGTAAACAGGAATGGTTTGGATTCTTAGATCACGGACTGCAGTTTCTTGAAGATGGACTTCTGGCAAGCGATGGGCTGCACCTCACATCGGTTGGGAGGAATGTTTTTGCCAAAAATCTCAGAAACCTCATCAGGAGGGCTTTAAACTGACTAATGTGGGGGAGGGAGACAGTGCTCCTGAAGGTAGGAGTCTATCAATTGATGAAGATGATCATCCAAATGTCATAGACCAAATGGAGCAAACAGCATGCAGACCTAGTGGTGGGAGGAAAAAATCCTTAAATAAGAGACACAGGGGAATGATTAATGGACTTCAATGTCTGTACACTAATGCGCAAAGCATGGGAAATAAACAAGATGAGCTTGAGCTCTTGGTACAGCAAACTAAATATGGCATAATAGGCATCACTGAAACCTGGTGGGATAAGTCCCACGATTGGAATGTAATAATGGAGGGATACAATCTATTTCAGAGAAACAGACCAGACAAGAAAGGAGGAGGAGTGGCGTTATATGTCAGCGATGTGTATACCTGTGAAGAGATCCAAGATTTAGAACCTCAAAGCCAAAGTGAGAGCATTTGGGTCAAAATTAAGGGAGAGAAGAATAACAGAGACCTCATTGGGGGAGTTTACTATAGATCCCCAAGTCAAAGGGAGGACATAGATGATGCCTTCCTGGAACAGATGGCCAAGCATGCAAAAGGAAGGGAGATAGTAGTAATGGGGGGCTTCAATTACCCGGATATTTGTTGGATGTCAAACTCAGCCAAGAGCATAAGGTCAAACAAATTCCTCACTGGCCTTGCAGACAACTTCATTGTCCAGAAAGTGGGAGAAGCAACAAGAGGAACAGCCATTTTAGATCTGGTCCTAACCAATGTTGATGACCTGGTTAGTGGGGTAGAAGTGGAAGGATCATTAGGCGCGAGTGATCATGCTCTTCTGAAGTTTACTGTACAGCGGAAAGGAGCAGCCAAGCATACTAGGACTCAATTTCTTGACTTTAAGAAAGCCGACTTCGTAAAACTTAGGGAAGTGCTGGGTGAGATCCCATGGACAGTAATACTAAAAGGAAAGGGAGTTCATGATGGCTGGGAGTTTGTTAAGAGGGAGATAGTAAAAGCACAACTTCAGGCAATACCAATGAGACGGAAACATGGAAAGTGCCTAAAGAAGCCAGGGTGGCTATCTAAAGAACTTTTAACTGAGTTAAGATTAAAAAAAGATGTGTACAAAAAATGGAAAAGGGGAGAAACCACCAAAGAGGAATTCAAACAAATAGCCAACACTTGTAGACACAAAGTCAGAAAAGCTAAAGCACAGAATGAACTCAGGCTTGCTAGAGAGGTTAAAAGCAACAAAAAAGGCTTTTATGGGTATGTCCGTAGCAAAAAGAAGAACAAAGAAACAGTGGGGTCACTCAGAAGAGAAGATGGTGAAATGCAAACAGGGGACACAGAAAGGGCTGAACTCCTCAATGCCTTCTTTGCCTCAGTCTTCTCCGATAAAGAAAACAATGCCTGACCTGATCTCGTTTTTTGACAGAATTACAAGCCTGGTAGATGAAGGGAACGCAGTGGATGTAGCCTACCTTGATTTCAGCAAGGCATTTGACAAGGTGCCCCATGATATTCTTGTAAAGAAGCTGGTAAAATGCAGTCTTGACTATGCTACCACTCAGTGGATTTGTAACTGGCTGACTGACCGAACCCAAAGGGTGCTCATCAATGGTTCCTCTTCATCCTGGAGAAGAGTGACTAGTGGGGTGCCACAGGGTTCTGTCTTGGGCCCGGTCTTATTCAACATCTTTATCAACGACTTGGATGATGGACTCAAGGGCATCCTGATCAAATTTGCAGATGACACCAACCTGGGAGGGCTGGCTAACACCCCAGAGGACAGGATCACACTTCAAAACGACCTTGACAGATTAGAGAACTGGGCCAAAACAAACAAGATGAACTTTAACAGGGAGAAATGTAAAGTATTGCACTTGGGCAAAAAAAATGAGAGGCACAAATACAAGATGGGGGACACCTGGCTTGAGAGCAGTACATGTGAAAAGGATCTAGGAGTCTTGGTTGACCACAAACTTGACATGAGCCAACAGTGTGACGCAGCAGCTAAAAAAGCCAATGCAATTCTGGGCTGCATCAATAGGAGTATAGCATCTAGATCAAGGGAAGTAATAGTGCCACTGTATTCTGCTCTGGTCAGAACTCACCTGGAGTACTGTGTCCAGTTCTGGGCACCACAGTTCAAGAAGGACACTGACAAACTGGAACGTGTCCAGAGGAGGGCAACCAAAATGGTCAAAGGCCTGGAAACGATGCCTTATGAGGAACGGATAAGGGAGCTGGGCATGTTTAGCCTGGAGAAGAGGAGGTTAAGGGGTGATATGATAGCCATGTTCAAATATATAAAAGGATGTCATATAGAGGAGGGAGAAAGGTTGTTTTCTGCTGCTCCAGAGAAGCGGACATGGAGCAATGGATCCAAACTACAAGAAAGAAGATTCCACCTAAACATTAGGAAGAACTTCCTGACAGTAAGAGCTGTTCGACAGTGGAATTTGCTGCCAAGGAGTGTGGTGGAGTCTCCTTCTTTGGAGGTCTTTAAGCAGAGGCTTGACAACCATATGTCAGGAGTGCTCTGATGGTGTTTCCTGCTTGGCAGGGGTTGGACTCGATGGCCCTTGTGGTCTATTCGAACTCTATGATTCTATGATTTCAGATAGATGCTGGTGATGCAATGCTGATAATGCTTCTTTGAGGCGGTATATAAATTAATAAATAATAATAATAATAATGATATGGGAGTGTTTTGTGTGTTTTTCTTTCTGTGGATGCCCACACACTTCTAAATTATATTCATATGATTTGGAGACTTAACAAATGGACAAAAGTGGATTCCTCAAACCCTGTTTTTGCAAAGAGACTTTGAGACTGGGAGAGTAAATACTCACCATCTACTACTCAGTGGTCTGGTGATCTCACCGCCCTTTCTACATATTATAATAGTCAATCTAGTTTGGATACCTATTATATGGACTGCTTATATTGACCCGTACTGCATATTTAATTCAGGACTAATTGATTATGTTTATTGTTAAAATGACCTAATGATGTTGCTTTATTTCCCTTCTTGTTACATTTGCAAAATCTAATAAATAAATGATCCCATTCTACAGATACTTCTGTTGCAGTGAAGGGTCTTCCAGGGTTTCCTGGTCCTCCAGGAAACCAAGGTTACCCAGGACCACGAGGGCAAAAGGGGTTGAAAGGTAAGGCACATGTGGACTGGTGCTTTCATGTGGTGTCTGCTATGGATTGTCGTGAAAGGGAGAGGCTTAATTTGCACAATATCCTGAGACCAGACAACTTTTCTCCTTGATTAGGAGTCTTGTACTATCCCTGTCTGGGACGCGGGTGGCGCTGTGGGTAAAACCTCAGCGCCTAGGACTTGCCGATCGCATGGTCGGTGGTTCGAATCACCGCGGCGGGGTGCGCTCCCGTCGTTCGGTCCCAGCGCCTGCCAACCTAGCAGTTCGAAAGCACCTCCGGGTGCAAGTAGATAAATAGGGACCGCTTACCAGCGGGAAGGTAAATGGCATTCCGTGTGCTGCGCTGGCTCGCCAGATGCAGCTTGTCACGCTGGCCACGTGACCCGGAAGTGTCTGCAGACAGCGCTGGCTCCCGGCCTATAGAGTGAGATGAGCACACAACCCTAGAGTCTGGCAAGACTGGCCCGAATGGGCAGGGGTACCTTTACCTTTACCTTTACTATCCCTGTCTCAGCCTTCCTCATTTAAAACCTTTCTTTAAAAAACCTTTCTTCCCTACACATCAGCTATGCTGGTCCACAGAGCTGGACTGCCCTTCTGACTCTTGCACAGAAGCCGAAGGGACGTGTCTAAGGTGGGGAATCGCCTGAATCAGCTTTGCTGCTCCATTGAGCCACGCCGGGAAGCCTCTTCCCAGCATGTCAGCGGAGCTTGTCAAGGAAGCCGCTCAAGCCAGAGGTACAGTGTAGCTTGCACAGCTGATGTGTGAGAAAGCGATGGCTTCTGCGCTACCTCACACATCAACTGCTAAGCAGGGAGGTCTTCTGCTCACGAGGAGACCCTCCCCAGAGCTTGAAGAGGATTTCCTCTTTGGGCTCTTGGAAGGGTCTCCTCACAGACCAGGAATCTCCAGGGTGCTCCCCATTTCCAGGATCTACTTCCAGGTTCCAGCACCGACTGTCGTCTGTTTTTCAGATGTGAGAAATACTGTGAGTGAGGCTGTTGGATTTACTATTTAGGGGGTTTGATTATTTATAGTCAGATTCGGTTAACAAACCCTGCCCAGTGGGGTTTCCCCCCACTCTTCTTGGGGGTTGGGGGTCAACAGAACTCCCAGAACAGCACATAAGGGGAGGAGAGGGCAGGTTGTTCCATCAGGCCAGCAGAAATGCTTGCACTGATGGAGTAATCTGCTTAGTGCTGTGTTGAAGACCTTCCTCTGTTTGTGACTAATGACTGTATTTATGCCAATTGTTTATGCCGCTTGTAATTTGCCATGTGACCTTATTGGGGGAGGTATAAATTTTAACAATAAGTAAAGGGTAATGCTGAAATAATTCATAATTCAGGACCCAGAAACCCCTGAAATCTCAATCCCATCTCAAGATTCCCTTATTTTCAGGAGACAAACTTTTTTGCAGCCTGAATAGTATTTACCTGTGTGGGACAAAGATTTGAACCAATTCAATAGTAGTATTAGTAGTAAAAGAAGAAAAAGAAGAAGAGGAGAGATGTTTCTTCACTTCTTGTCATCTCCCCAAAATAGTTCCCCCCCCCAACATACAAATAGAGATCTATTCAACTTGCCATGGGATTCCAGATACAAGTTTTCAAAGTTAACATGTTCTGAATCTGGTCAGAACCCTAAATGTGCAAATAGCAGGTCAAAGTTGTTATCCTTATGCACCCATAAATTGAATCGGATAATTCTGAATAAACATTAAAGGTTTTGCTATAAAATTCCTGTGAATGGGGTTGTTATTGTGAATTTGCCTTACAGACTTGACAAAGATGTGTGAATAGCCTAGGATTTGTTTCAATAGGTACCAATTGTTAGAAGATGCTTTTTGATACAGGACAACTCTGCTATGTTCTGATTAGACAGTCAGGAGAGCTAGACTTCTTCAAGAAGGGAGATTAGTGTTGTAGGATTAGGAGTTTGGACAGGAGGAAGTTAATGGAGCCAGAAAGACAGTTATAATTCCCTTAATAGTTGGTGGCAACCTTACCAGGAACATATTTTATTAGGGGAACTATGGGTAAAATGGCCCAAGAAGGCTGGAAAAAGGAAAAGATAAATATTTCCTATTCCACCACCACTCCACTAGTCAAAGGAAGGGGTAAGCTACTTGTGAATGAAAAACAATAGAGGCCTGAGAGGGAGACAGAGAGAGCTGAGCTGAATTTTTAGACTCTGCAATCTAACAGCATTCAAGGATGTGGGGCATTTCTCTTGAGAGCTGATTTGATTCAAAGTATTGAATCCCCTTGCTCAGTCTCTGCTCCTGCCAACCTAGCAGTTTGAAAGCACGTCAAAGTGCAAGTAGATGAATAGGTACTGCTCTGGCGGGAAGGTAAATGGTGTTTCTGTGCATTGCTCTGGTTCTCCAGAAGCAGCTTAGTCATGCTGTCCACATGACCCGGAAGCTGTACGCCGGCTCCCTTGGCCAATAAAGCGAGATGAGCGCCGCAACCCCAGAGTCATCCACGACTGGACCTAGTGGTCAGGGGTCCCTTTACCTTTACCTATTTAGTTATACATTCGCAAATAAGCTTAAGCTAGAGGCCCAGAGGGTGGCAACGGACCTTTTTTGCAGTTGCTCCCTGCTTGTGGAATACTCTCCCCGGCCACCAGGCAAAAACTTTCCTCTTCAACCAGGCCTTTGACTGATGACATCCAATGCCTTTTTAAATGTGTTGTGGGAGTGAGGATTATTGGTTTGTTGTTGTTCTTATTTAACAACAACCATAATTGAAGAAAACAAACTCGTATATCATTTTGTAATAAGCTTCCAGTGATCTGTTACCAAATGAAGGCAAAACCACTCCTGGGTAATCACTGCAGTGCTTGGAGAAGTGGTTTGCATGTATCAAGGTGGATGCACTGTAAATTCTGCCTCTTTTACAGGGAAACATTATCTTAGAATTTTTTTGTAATTTACAGGAACAAGAGTGACTTCTTTTTTCATTGTTTTTATTGAATGTTAATATAAGCAAACAAGTTACAGAAAAAAGAAATGAAATGCTTTTGCTTTTAATTAGAAGTTGTCACCATTGTCAATAAAGTATAGAATGCAGCAATGTGATTTATTGAGGCAATGATAAAACATAAGGAAGTGTAGACTAATTTATACCAAAGTTCCCATGGTAGAAATTACCACATTTTTTTCAAAAAAAGAAGGTAAAAAATAACCTTGTTGTTGTTGTTTAGTCATTTAGTCGTGTCCGACTCTTTGTGACCCCATGGACCAGAGCACGCCAGGCACTTCTGTCCTCCACTGCCTCCCGCAGTTTGGTCAGACTCATGCTGGTAGCTTCAAGAACACCATCCAACCATCTCATCCTCTGTCGTCCCCTTCTCCTTGTGCCGTCCATCTTTCCCAACATCAGGGTCTTTTCCAGGGAGTCTTCTCTTCTCATGAGGTGGCCAAAGTATTGGAGCCTCAGCTTCACAATCTGTCCTTCCAGTGAGCACTCAGGGCTGATTTCCTTAAGAATGGATACGTTTGATCTTCTTGCAGTCCATGGGACTCTCAAGAGTCTCCTCCAGCACCATAATTCAAAAGCATCCATTCTTCGGCGATCAGCCTTCTTTATGGTCCAGCTCTCACTTCCATACATCACTACTGGGAAAACCATAGCTTTTACTATATGGACCTTTGTTGGCAAAATGATGTCTCTACTTTTTAAGATGCTCCAGACACTGACGAAGCCCTCTGGTCCCTGGGGCACCAAAGGGCAAAGAAGCCGAGCTTGAGCACTTTAACCCCTGCTTCTCACTCTTAGCTTCTACAATATGCTTTCAAGAGGGCAATTCTTAGGTCTCCTTCTCTGAATATTGTTTTGCAGGAGAGCCAGGAGATTGTAAATGTGCTGAAAGTACCGAACGAAAAAGAGGCCCTGCTGGGCAACCTGGTCCACCAGGATTTCCAGGTCCAATGGGGCCGGTGGGGAGAAAAGGAGACCCTGGTGATCAAGGCCCACATGGAGTGCCTGGCTTTCTTGGCTCAAAAGTATGGCATTTATGTTGTAACACCTTTTTTCCATATCATAAGTATGTTTCCTATGCAATTTATTTAAACAAATGTAGATTTATTTTGATTAGGTATATATGCCACCATACCACAAAAAAAATCTCAATTTCACTTATTTAGGAAGGGTCCAAGCATCATTTTGGGAGCATAACACAAACTTGTCACGTGGGTCCACTTGCACACACATATCATGATCCCATTTGTACAATATTAATGAGTCATGAAAGGAATGAGAGAATGACAGAGTTGGGAGGAGCCTCAAAGGTCATCTAGTCCAAGCTCCTGCTGTGCATGACTAAAGCATCTGTGACAGGTGGCCATCCAGCCTCTGCGTAACAGCCTCCAAGGAAGGAGAGTACACCACATTCCAAAATAGTTGGTTCCACTGTCAAACGGTCCTTACCATCAGAAAGTTATTTCTGATGTTTAGTCAGAAACACTCCTTTTTTGAAATTTGCATTAGTTCTTAATTATTTTGTTTTAATCTCTTTTAATTACTGAGGATACTTTTGGTGTGTTTGTTTGTTTGTTTGTGTGTGATAATTCTTTTTTCAGTGCTCAGGCCAGTTTTCGGAACATTGTTTGCTTTTGTATGGTCAGAGGTGTGGGTATTCTACGTTTTTACACACACTCGGCCTAAACCTAGGCCAAGCTAACCATTGCTTTCTAAACTTATTTGTAGCCTTGTGAATTTTTTTTTCCATACTCTGCCTAATTCCCCTCACCTTTTAAGCATAAATATGATCATACTATAAACCAACTTTATGTGACATAGTCTGCCTGCAACAGAGCAATTACTTCTCTCACACACATCCAGACACACAGGAAACTGATGTTGCCTCTTCATCCTTTCTTTCTTTTTTATATAATATTGTATTCAGTTTTCACAACAAAGAAATTATAAGACAAACAATCAGAAAAACACAAAAATAAACTAAACTCAAAAGCACAAAAATACAAACAATTAACATAAGATAGAAAAATAAAAACAAAAACAAAAAACCCTCTTTTTTCTTTTATCCACTTTAGTCAACTTATTATCCTGACTTCCTCACGCCTCCTTTTTTTGTATTCCACTTAAAAATTGGTTCAGCAAATTCATATCCTATTGGTTAGTCCTTAATTATTTTTCCTCACATATTTCACATATTTTAACTTCAAACTTTCATCTAATCTCAATCCACTCTTACGTAATCTTGTGCTTTATTCACTAGAACCCCTTCATTTCATTTCAATGTCATCAACATTCAAAAATTTTACAATGTTTCTGTAAATAGACTTTAAATTTCCTCCAATCTTCTTCCACCAACTCTTCTCCCTGATCCCGAATTCTGCCAGTCATTTCCGCCATTTCCATGTAATCCATTACTTGCATCTGCCATTCTTCCAAGGTGGGTAGATCTTGTGTCTTCCAATGCTTTGCAATGAGTATTCTTGCTGCTGTTGTAGCGTACATAAAGAAAGTTCTATCCTTCTTTGGCACCAATTGGCCGACTATGCCCAGGAGGAAGGCCTCTGGTTTCTTCACAAAAGTATATTTAAATACCTTTTTCATTTCGTTATAGATCATTTCCCAGAAAGCCTTAATCCTTGGGCACGTCCACATCCTTTCACTCTGAAACCTATTTTCTCTGCATCTTGTCAAGAGGGTTATTCCTTTTTCTTGCAAGAGGAAACGGGTTTACCCTTACACTTATGTATGTTACTAATATGACTAACTTAATTCTCATAATCTTGACTATTAGGGATTGCCTGGTGTACCTGGGCCACCTGGACAACAAGGGCCAAAAGGAGATTCGCGATATGTTACCACAAGAGGTATGGCCATAGCTCTGCATTTCAATTTATTTTTATTTCTGCAAACGTACCACATTTAGCAGCAGTATATTTACTATACGAGTTGTGTTTCATTTAGGTGCTAAAGGAGACCAAGGAATTCCAGGGATTCCTGGATATAAAGGAGAAAATGGTTTGCCAGGAAGAGACGGCACAGATGGTTTACCAGGACTACCTGGGCTTCCGGTAAGTAACCACTTCACCTTCTTCTTATCAATGTGACAAAGAAGAGAATTCTTTGAATTCAGCGATGGGGAGTCCATAGCCTTGCAGCTGTTTGCTGGTCTAACACTCCTCATTCATCATCGCTAACCATTGCAAATGTCCTTTCTGTGGTGACTCTGGAATGCCCTCCCCAAAGAGACATGCCTGGTGCTGGCATTACAATATTTTTGGCACCATGCTCTTTGCCCAGGCATTTTAGGTTGTATTTTGAAATTTTTCCCTATTCTACTCCTTAGTTTTACGGATTTGTTTTAGCTTACCTCTTACCTTGCTGTATATTGTTATATTTATTTGTTTAATTTTTAAGAAATATTTTAAATAAAGGATAAACAACATCTGACGAGCCACTGTTTCCTCTATATTAATAGGTCACATTGAAGGCCATTTGTTATTCAGACATGGTCAAAATAGATCTCTGTAGTGCTGGTGTAACACGTGGTTTCTCTCATATCCTTGGCATAGCAGTAGGTTCTTCTTATACTAAACATTAATGTGCTTCAGACTCAGTATGTTGTTCATGAGAGCATAAATTCAGTCCTGTGCACAAATAGTCTGTAAGAGCTCAATTGTTCGGTGTTGCGGCAGCGACACCTTGGGACTTCCTGCCTGTTGATATTAGGCAGGCACCTTCACTGCATTTTTTAGACAGGCCTACCCAGGTGTTTGGAAAGTTTAATGAGCTTTAATTTTAGTCTATTCTACTGCAGTTTTAACTTTCTGTATGTTTTAAATTATAGTTGTAATTTTTTAAGGGATTGTTTTATTGTTTTATCTTTTTTGAGGTTTTTTCTTCAATCAAGCAGTGTAAAATTTATGAAATAAACAAAGCATATCCTGTTTACAACAGGAGGCCAATTGTACCTGACTATCTTAACCAATAACCCACTCATAACACTGTCTTATATTCAGTGTTGTTTTTGAGACTCAAATATAATGTTAGCCATCATGACCTCTATTGGCACAGAATTCCACAACTTTGCTTGTAAGGCCTAACTAACCTTGTAGATTCAGGTAAGTAGCCGTGTTGGTCTGACACAGTCAAAATAAATAAATAAATAAATTGTCCAGTAGCACCTTAGAGATCAACTAAGTTTGTTCTGGGGATAAGCTTTCATGTGCATGCACACTTCTTCAGATATTCTTCAATTTTTTTTATTTAACCTTGTGGAGCCTTTGAGAGTGTCAGCAGATATATTGATAGAGGTATTCTAGTAAACATTGTGTACTTGGACTTTCAAAAAGCTTTAGATAAAGTGCCTCACTAAAGACTCCTGAGTAAACTTAGAAGCCATGGGATAGCCAGTACAGTGGTACCCCGCAAGACGAATGCCTCACAAGACGAAAAACCCGCTAGACGAAAGGGTTTTCCGTTTTTCGATGCGCTTCGCAAGACGATTTTCCCTATGGGCTTGCGATTTTTTTCGCTCCCCCCCCCTTTTTTCTAAGCCGCTAATAACCTTTTAGCCGCTAAGCCGCTAAGCCTTTAATAGCCGCTAAACCGCTAATAGCGCTAAGCCGCTAAGCCGCTAATAGGGTTGCTTCGCAAGACGAAAAAACCGCTAGGCGAAGAGACTCGCGGAACGGATTATTTTCGTCTTGCGAGGCACCACTGTAAATGTTTAAAGAACAGGAAGCAAACACTGAAAAATGGGCAGTTCTCCTAGTGGAGGGATATGGAAAGTGGAGTCCCCCAGGCATAATCTGCATTGAGATCTGTCAGATGGCAATGGTGGTTGCTTGTGAGTAACCAGTCAGGACTCCAACCTGTCTTTTACAGGTTTTATTTTGATGCAAAACTATTTACAGTATAGAGCCACAAGTTCATGTCTGCCTCAATAGCTAGCAGAATCCGGGAGTGGTTGTTTCCGGGACCTCCCCCAACATAAGAGCTTCATCACCCCCAGCCTTTTTTTCCCTTCTTTGCATTTTGCACCTCTGCGCAGGTTGGGCGATGGAAGGGGCGTGCTTCCCTCCTGGCCGGCTTGGCCAGGAGCGGTGCTGAGGCTCCCAGCAGCATCCTCTGGTCCTTTCCCCTCTTCCCCACTGGAGGTGTGGCTTTCCTCACCACAGGAAGAGGAACTGCTTCACAAGATTTTCAGAGGTTCCCTGTAACCCAACTGCCCCTCTGCTTCCCTACCCTGTTCCGATGGCAGTTCCCTGACAAGATCATTGCTCCTTAACTTGTTTCTAAATGATCTGGAGTTAGCATGAGCAGTAAGATGGCCAGGTTTGCTGGTGGCACCAAATTATTCAGTGTGATTAAAAAAAGAGGATTGTGTGGCGCGCCAAAAGAATGTCTCCAGATGGGATAAGTGGGCATTAAAATGCCAAGTGCTATTTAGCAGAAGCAACAGTAAAATGAGGCACAAAAATAATTTCACATTCATGAGTCCTAAACTGATGGTAATTGACCCGGAACAAGACTTTGGGGTACTACTGAATAGCTCAGTAAAAATGTCAGCCTTGTGTGCAGCAGCTGCAAAAAAGTTGGATTCCATTTTAGAGATCATTAGGAAAGGGATTGAAAAGAAAACTACCATTATTATAATGCTGCTACACAAATCTTGGAATACTGTGTACACTTCTGATTGCTGCATCTGAAAAAAGATATAGTAGGGGTGGAAAGTAGATGTTCAGAAAAGGGCATCAAAATAATCAAGGGGCTTGAGCTACTCCCCTATGAGGAAAGGTGGCATGTGGAGCTTTTTAATTTAGGAAAAAAGCACACAAGGAAGGACATGATAGAGGTGTGTACAATTATGTAAGATGTGGGGGGGAAAGGATATAGATTAGTTTTTCTCCATCTATTAGTGGCTGCTAGTCATGATAGCTGTGTAGCAGCTGTGGAAGTGGGAGGTCTCTAAATACCAATTGCTGGGGAGCCCAACTGGAGAGAGTGCTCCTGCCCTCACACCCTGCATGTGGGTTTGACACAGCCATCTGTGAGAACATGGTGCTGAACTAGATGGCACTGGGGTCTGATTCAGCAGGGCCCTTCGTGGCTTTAAACTCTGTGGGGCAAAAATATGTTCAAGGCCAAGTTTTCAAAGCCACCTCTTGTTAATTTCCTCATGCATAATGCCAAATAATGAATTAACATTCTCACCATGATTTAGTTTTCATATGCTTTATATGCTTTGTTCTGAGTTAAGGAGAAATACACCCACAGCCAGCATGTCATCAGGCCGTCAACCAGGACTGTAAAGATGAGGAGTGGAGGGGTGTTGTGTGTCAAGTACCTGGCCGATTAGAATTAGGCTCAGGGTTGTGTCATGGAATTCTACTCAATATTGTTCCAGAGCAGAACTCCAATGTATAGTTAGCAGAGTGAAAACATAAACATGTTTCAGGATTCCCCAAAAATAGACCAGAGAAAATTATATTTCATCGAGCAGAGCTTTATTGCTACTGAAGGCAAATGAGCATAATGATCACAAATCCAATACATTCAGGATTGGCACTGTCCATAAGAAATCCAGTTGCTTCAGACTTCACTTAAACTTGCAATAACTTATGTCTAAATCTTAACACTAAGCATCCTATGTACAGAACACCACACCAGAAGGAAAAGAGATAGAAAGAGAAACCAAAACCCAGGCCTTACTTACTGGCCTTACTTTTATAGTCAGCATGACCTTGAAGAAGAGATAACAGAACCAGTTTAGGCCTGCTGTACTCAACTTCTCTGAAGGAATAACCCAAACATCATGAACTTTCTGCTTGTTTCTGTCACACAGAGAAGCTTCCAGAACCCTCTTAAATTAATTAGAATAAGAAAGATCTCTACAAATCAGATCAATACTTTCTGTATGAAGAAATACAACTGACAGGTTGGGCAACCTGTAACACTCTTGATGGTGTCAGACTAATAATATAATAATAATAATTTCTACCCCACCCATCTGGCTGGGTTTTCCCCAGCCACTCTGGGCGGCTTCCAACAGATGGTTAAAAATACATTAAAACGTCAGCCATTAAAAACTTCTCTAAACAGGACCGGCTTCAGATGTCTTCTATCCCCCCCCCTTTTATTGATTTTCCACATTTATAACAAATATAACATATAAAAACCACACATTACAGTACTAAAAACAAAAAAACTAAACAAAAATGTAGACACATTAAACCTAATTTATCTTTCATTGTTAACTGACGTCTTCAAATCCCTCCTAACTGAAATTCATTGTGTCACCTTGTAACAGCTCTCCAAAATCATCTTTCTAATAAAATTAACTCCTTCAATTTACTGTCTTCATCACTTTGCCTTCAGATGTCTTCTAAATGTCATATAGTTGTTTATTTTTTTGACATTCGACGGGAGGGCATTCCACAAGGCGGGCACCACTACCGAGAAGGCCCTCTGCCTGGTTCCCTGTAATTTCGCTTCTTGCAGTGAGGGAACCGCCAGAAGCCCTTGGCGCTGGACCTCAGACTACAATTCCCATCATCTCCAGCCAATAACTTTCTAGGAGGATACCTTGACCAAAGCCGCCAGCATGATAAGCATGAGAAATCTTTCTTTGGAAGATCAGGTGCATAATCTAAAAACATAAGATCATGCTTATGGCTCTCTTGTTGCTGGTTGTTACAGTGATTACTGGGTCGAAGAAAGCCAAAATATCCTCTGGTTCAGAATTCTTGTTTAATGCTAGTGAGGCTGCTGAGCAAGTGAAAAATGAAATTTCAGTGCTAAAATAGATTAATACGTTGTAAGCAGGCTGAGGTATGTTTCCTTCCCTTTTGCAGGGTGATGGTGTACGAGGTGAACCAGGGGATCCTGGTGAACCTGGTCCGTTAGGCCCAAAGGGTTTTCCCGGAGAAGAAGGCTTGCCAGGTGTTGGCTTGCCAGGCCCAAAGGGATATCCTGGCCCTCTGGGTGACCCTGGGGTTCCTGGGAGTCCTGGCTTCCAAGGTTCCCCAGGACCTCCAGGCGCTCCTGCTGAAATAGGTATGTATGAACACTAGTCAGAAACTGTGATTGTGTCACATATAAAATATGGGGATTCTTGAGGTGGGCAGCCTCACCTGCCCTTGCCTCATTGCCATAGGAGTACATCACTGAAAACCTATTAGACTTGGTCTGCTACACAAATTCCTTACTGCCTTCTGGGAACATTGGTTGAGTTGTGTCTTCAAAATCTACATAGCTTGTATATTTCTTAGACACCACTTTCTTTCATGTGTTTTGCAACAATTTATTTTTTAATAACGCCCTTCATGAATCAGGTAAAAATTGTGAGGGCCTATGGAGAAGTGCTCTTCAGGCACTTAGGGTTTGTGCTTCCTGTCACTGTTCCCATAAAACATCTCCTCAGGCTGCCACGTGACACATCCACACTGAGGGTTGCATGCTCTGTTGGTGACTTGTGGAAGAAGTCACTTGGTACTTCAGTCAGTGTGATATATCCACAGGGTATATGGAACCCCAGCAGAGGCCTTAGAGATTTCCTGCTCCCAGCAGAACAGCTTCTTCCAGAATCCTCAGTTAAGGGGGAAGCTCCTCTGCCACACAGTTCAAAGTAGCAAAGTATTCACTGTCTCCAGACACAAGACAGAGCGAAACACTGCTATCTACCATATACTGTTCTCCTAGTCTTTGAAATAAAGATGCGTATGCACAGAGAGATCCTCTAACACTATCACCATGTTAGCTAACGCTGCTGCATAAAACCCACAGCCTCTTCCCTGACTTTCACAGATTCAGAGTCAGACCCTGACATCAAACAGGACAGGACATAGGCAAGACGTAATGAAAGCAATGCCCTAGAGACTGTTATACCTACACGTAGGCATATTTCCTGAACCAATGGGAGGGTGAATGACTCAACCTTACTGATATTGCTGCAGTGACCCAGTGCACCTGGCACCCTGATCTCAGAACATCCAGATATCTCTCATATTCACCCAAGTGTCAGGCCCTGGCTGGACGCTGAGGAGTGAGCACCACGAGATGTCTCACTCTGTAGACTTAGAAGGCCAATTCATGACTGTTTATTTTATTTTCCAACAAAGCTGTATACTCTTTTCTCCGCTGCTGCATGTATTTCGAGCAAATTCAAAAATCAAAGGCAGTTGCTGGCATGCCATGGAACAGTTATGGCAATCCCATTTCATGGGATAGAACTGCAGGTGGATAATGTTGTTCTTGTATTTTATTCTGTGAACTGCCCTGAGATCTTTTGATGAAGGGAGGTCTATAAATTTAATAAATAAAATATAATTAAATAAATACATTCTCTGGAACAGTCCCGTTTATTTATTTTTATTTTTAATTATTAAAGTTATACTACCCATCTTCTGAAGGTCTCAGGGTGGTTCACAAAATTAACAAGTTTATTTCAAAAGATCACTGCAGATACAGTTGGTGGGTTGAACATTGCTGTTTCTGGTCATAATTTAAGAAATCCAAATTTCTTTTGTTCTAATTTTTTATATTTCAGATTGTGGACAGACAGTCAAAGTCTTTTTCAGAGGTAACAGAACTGAGCCAATTCAGTCAGGTAAAATATGATAATTTTAAAATGTAAATTTGTATGCAAAATTTGTGATTCTGAATGATAACAAGAATTGTATTTTGAAGAACTTAATGCAAACTGAAGAGGGTTTTAATTTGACACACCAAATTTTTTTTAACAAAATGTATTACAATGCAACTGTTGAAAACTCCAGTGAGTAGCATTATACAACTTCATTCATCTTACTATTTTGCATCCAGTCAAATCAAGCTTTTAGTAGACAGCCCAGTCCATTGCCACGCCCTCTCTGTCTCCTTTACATGTTACCTGATATGCCAGATTCCTTGACCACCAACACCATCTGTCCTCCTTCCTTCCAGAGGACACTAGATAGTTTTTGCCCTTAGTTTTGGACAGTATTGCTGCTGAGTAAAAGGTTGCACAAACACAGGGGTGAAACTAGGCTTAATTCACCTGAGACAAAGACCCAGTTTTGTGCTTACCGCTTCCTGTCTCTGACCACCCCCTGCCCCACCCCCCTGCTTATGGACACTGGAACCCTGATCATGTTGTTAGGCAGGATGCAAAACCCTAGTGAACCCTGACTGACAGTGGCCTAAAGGAGCTCTTCTGCAGTGCAATTCCACTTTCACTCTTCCTGACCACCTGAAAGCTAAACACAGAGCATGGCTCACAGGAAAGCTGCTGTGCATTCAGTCATTTCCAACAATTGGTTTTGCTGTCCCTGAGCCCACAAAGGAAGGGATTCCTAAATAGCTTCTTGCTTAAGTAACAGAAGAATGATGACTCGGACACAAAGACCCAAAAGGTATTAAGAAAACCCAATCATAGGCCACAGTTGCTTGGGATGCTAAAAGCAGACTTCAAGCCTGGCAGACTTGGCTTTCTACTAGAAGTTTGAGGCCTACCAATGACCAGGGGCAAAAGAAAGGCGGTCCAGTAGAGGAGAAGGCAGCAAAATAATTAGAATTTAGGAACAGGGCACCTCTGAGCTCAACTTCAGCCCAGGAACATATTTTCGCTGTCAGAACAGAGCTCACAAACTTTTCTCTCGCACAAAAACCACTCTTGGTGTTTCTCCTGAGCTTTCCTCAACTCAGCAGTCTGATTTTTAGAAGAAAACCCCTCACTTTTGGGGGAGGGGTTGCTATTGTTAATACTACTACTACTACTACTACTGCTACTAATAATAATAATAACAACCTATTGCCTGTCACCCAGATGCCTACTACTAGATCCCAATATACCTTCCGTCTACCCTTGGTTTGAAGGATCATGACCTTGGGGGATTCACTTAAGTAGCCACATCCAATCTGAATAAACAGTCATCACTGAAGGCCATATTTCATCTTAGGTTTAATTATGGGGGGAGATTTTTCTGGTCCAGAAGCCACACTGCTATTGCTAAATTGGTAGCTATACTATTACATTCTCAAAAGGACTGTATGCTTCTTTCTTTCTTTCTTTCTTTACTTCTTTCCTTTGTGACAAAATGTTTACAGGCACATACACACACTGAGAAGTGGGTGGTAGAGGCTTTTATGTTTATTTCTTTATTAAAATATTTCAATAAATATTAAATCAGACAATGAACAGGTGAAGGTGCTGAAGGTGACAGGTAAAGGTAAAGGTACCCCTGCCCATACGGGCCAGTCTTGCCAGACTCTAGGGTTGTGCGCCCATCTCACTCAAGAGGCCGGGGGCCAGCGCTGTCCGGAGACACTTCCGGGTCACGTGGCCAGCGTGACATCGCTGCTGTGGCGAGCCAGAGCCGCACACGGAAACGCCGTTTACCTTCCCGCTAGTAAGCGGTCCCTATTTATCTACTTGCACCCGGGGGTGCTTTCGAACTGCTTGGTTGGCAGGCGCTGGGACCGAACAACGGGAGCGCACCCCGCCGCGGGGATTCGAACCGCCGACCTTTCGATCGGCAAGCCCTAGGCACTGAGGCTTTTACCCACAGCGCCACCCGCGTCCCTAATTTCAGTTAGGTGACAGAGGGTGAGTGAAAAAACCAAGCCTCAGGTGGAGAGATGACTCAAAGGTGGGGCTTACCTGGGCCCCTGCTATAAGTACTTCCTGCTGATTTATAGTGCTGTGGTCTAAACCACTGAGCCTAGGGCTTGCTGATCAGAAGGTTGGTGGTTCGAATCACTGTGACAAGGTGAGCTCCCATTGTTTGGTCCCAGCTCCTGCCAACCTAGCAGTTCGAAAGCATGTCAAAGTGTAAGTAGATAAATAGGTACCGCTCCGGTGGGAAGGTAAACGGCGTTTCCGTGCACTGCTCTGGTTTCGCCAGAAGCGGCTTAGTCACACATGACCTGGAAAAACTGTCTGTGGACAAACGTCGGCTCCCTCGGCCAGTAAAGCTAGATGAGCGCCGCAACCCCAGAGTCGTTCATGACTGGACGGGTCCTTTACCTTTTTTTTTTTTTTGCCCCCAATACACATGTTTTTGTATGCATTTTTGTGTTGGAAAACTGCATCATGAATTTCAAAGAATAGCTGCCTTTTGGTTCATGTGGGTGAATCTGGTAGATTTGCATTAAGATGGGAACAAAATTTCTCCTCCATCCTTAGGCCCCTGGCCTACAATTTTTTTGCCACAATACATTTGTTAAGTCTTTGAAGAGCCACTTTGTTGTTTTTATCTGTATTGTTTACCTACAGGAACTAGCTGTATTCAAGCACCAAAAGGAACTCCAGGAACTCCAGGGATTCCAGGACCAAGAGGTAAATGCCATAACAATAACAATACAGCAAGTTACAATGCACAATCAAATCATTCAACTATAATTATGATTCCAAAAGGAAATAAATGGAAACTATTTATAAAAATAATTACAGTGGTGCCCCGCAAGACGAATGCCTCGCAAGACGGAAAACCCGCTAGACAAAAGGGTTTTCCGTTTTGGAGGTGCTTCGCAAAACGAATTTCCTATGGGCTTGCTTCGCAAGACGAAAATGTCTTGCGAGTTCCTGCAGGGTCTTTTTCCTTTTTCCCCCTTTTCCCCAAGCCGCTAAGCCGCTTATCAGCTGATCCGCTAAGCCGCTTAACAGCTAAGCCGCTAAGCCACTTAACAGCTGATCGCTAAGCCGCTTATCAGCTGATCCGCTAAGCCGCTTATCAGCTGATCCGCTAAGCCACTTAACAGCTGATCGCTAAGCCGCTTATCAGCTGATCCGCTAAGCCGCTTATCACCTGATCCACTAAGCCCGCTAAGCCGCTAATAGCGCTAATCCCCTAAGCCGCTAATGGGCTTGCTTCGCAAGACGAAAAAACCGCAAGACGAAGAGACTCGCGGAACGGATTCTTTTCGTCTTGCGAGGCACCACTGTATTAGATCTTATTTGCCCATATCTATAGTTGACAATGTTATTTATATCTGTGCTATTTCACATTTTCTTGGAGAGTTTGCAGACAGAGCAACTTCCAGGAATGTGGAACTATAATTTTTGCTTCAGTCAAAAGATTTAGGTGTAGCTTGCAGATCAGTCTGCAAATACAACTTTGAAAGTAATGTAAAAGTACAACAGCATATCAAATTCAATCTTCCTACTTGCTATCAAAACGTTTATCTGAATCATCTGCAACTAATAAGATTTGTTTGCTTGCTTGCTTGCTTGTTTATTTAACAATCCTACAATTGTTACCCAAATACTTACAACCTGCCTTCCATGCTGCAAGTCATGGATCTCCTCACATGCCCTTTATGAATAATACTGCTTTACATGTAATCCTAAGAGGAATGCAAAAGGCTAAATATTCCAATCCAAAATTTCAACAGTTCAGAGGATTTCCCCCCCTGCAAGTATTTGTTTTTACTTTGGTAAAATGTCTGTCCAAAGGCAACAGCCTCAGTTCCTTGTCTCGGTCGTGGAGGATGCTTTCTTCACTAGGCATGAACTGGAAAGCCACCTTCCCCTTCGCTTCCAGGGCACCACAGGCAGCTCAAGGAACCTGGCTAGTTTGGCTTGATGATGGTTGGCTTGTGGTGATGTAGAGGCAGGCTTTCTCACTGGTGGCAGCAGCGCTCTGGGTTGTCCTCCCTGCTGAAATAGGAGCGGGGGCTGTCAGTATTGGATTTCTTCTAGCTCCTGAAGATGCATTTCCCTGAGCTGAAGATCTGGTTTTATTGTTTTAACTGTTCTTTCAACTTTCCTGTAGACAACTTCTGCAACAAAATCGCTCTTACAATTCCTCAGCATTTAAACTATGTGAAAAATAATTTTACGTGTGTCCAAAGGCTGGGTATTCCCATTACCCATATTTTGCAAATTGTAACACTACAGCCCTCCTTCAGTTGCACTTAATATATACCCGTACATTAGAAATAGCATGCAGCAAATCTACATTACATAGAAATAAAAATAAGATATTCCACTACTAGGAATGGTTCTCTCATAATCTGGAAATGCCCTAAAAGATATAACTTACCTAAGGCTAGCTATAAATTTATTACCAATATTTCTATTATTATTTTGTATTTTCCCCTTTAACATGTACATATTTTCATTTATTGCATTTCATTAGCATAATATCTTCAATAATGTAGGTGCAAAAGGTACAAGAGGGATTGCAGGCGAACTCGGTCTGCATGGATCCAAAGGGCTGAAAGGCTCTCCGGGAGATCAAGGTCGTGAGGGCTTAGCAGGCCCACCAGGTATGGTTAAAACCCAAAACACACTTGTACCATAGACAACTGAAGTGTTCAATTTATGTATCCATATTTATATATCGCATTTGTAATTTGCTTCTCCAATAAAAATCAAGTTGGTCATGCACACAAATGGAATTGCAAAATATACAGTATAGAACAATGTAATTGCTTGTACAACTGAGGGTGATTTTAGATGCAATGTCAACATGTGAAAATATTGCATGGCTCTGAGGCCAAGACCCTGGCAAAAAGCAGTCCCTGTTCACACAAGGATTCTCCACAAAGATGATAATTGGGGCTGTCAACCAAACAAATGCTTTAACCATTTCTAGGTTTTTCATCTGTAAATTAGTACCTCATTAAACAAGTACTAACTGAGCTGTGCCTCTCAAATGTGTTTGTATCTCCACCAATCGATTAATGACATGAGTGTTGACATGAGTAATGACATGGAGTTTCTGACATTGCAAAAGGCATCATGCAGCTTATCCCACAAAGATGTCTCATTCATCCTCTCTCTCTCTCTCTCTCTCTATCTTTCTTTCCTTCCTTTTTGAAGGAAAACCTTGAATAAGTACTGCCCACAGTCTGGAGATGTTGGAGCACATATGTACTCACATGGGTCACTTGAGGGACAAATCAAAACAGAAAGAACAAAGTCCACTGCTGCTAAATACCTTAGTAACACTATTCTGCCCAAGGACCATTTGTGGATTATCTTCTAAATTACATTATTATTGTAGTTTTAAGACAACAGGGTGTGAATGCTTTTAATCAGCACTTGTTCAGCTTTCCACTGAAGTCAGTGGGACATAAAGGTGCTTATTTGGCTAAGGAGGGATTTGCATCATCCTGGTTATATTGTTTTCCATTAATCAACTTTAACAAGTTTATTCTGGCAAATAAATTTCTTTTCCTAGAATCATATTTTTTTTTCTATTTAGGATTTCCTGGGCCCAGAGGAAACAGAGGTGCACCAGGTTTGCCTGGGGAGCAGGGCTTTCCTGGGAGTCCAGGATTGCCAGGTTGGCCAGGCCCTCCAGGAGTGAAAGGAGTTGCAGGTGACAGACTTGGAGCACCCACAGGCCCCCAAGGGGATGCTGGGCCGCCGGGAATCCCAGGACTGAAAGGCCCCCCAGGAGATCACGGCTTGCCAGGACTGAGAGGTAATGCTCTTGCTTTTGCCAATGGAGAATTTTAAAGAAGAGAGACTCAGGAAATTTGGTGATAGCAGTTGTGGTGATGCAGAGTTCTGCAATGAGTTCTGCATGCAGCAAAGGTTCTGTAGCCTAGTTTCAAACAGCCCTCTGCACCCTGGCATGTTGCTTTGAAAACTGCAGGGAATTTCAAAATCAGTTTGTGATTTTGCACAGAGAGCTGCAGCTGGAGAAATAGTGAAACCAACGTGTTTGCTCCCAAGCAACATATACTTACTGTAAGTAGGTTCTCTGCATTGCAGCCAGCAGCAGTCCTGCAGTTTTGCTGAAAATGAGCATCCTGGTCCATTGCCTTCATCAGTATTCCCAGATTTTTCACCTAAGATGTTGCACATAATACCAGTAGAGGAAATGAAAATTACTGATTGTTAAGAAAGCAGAACTCAGTAAGTCCCATTCTGTATAGTCTGCAAACCAGAAAGCTGCTTTTCCTTATGAGCGTGTAGGACCTATTCAGAAGGCAGCTTTTCATATTCATAGGCTTCAGAATAAATGTTTATTATTATAATTAGCAAAACTCACAGTTTTCTGGACTGTGAGTTGGAGCTAAGCTAAATTTGTTGACAAGGTAGTTGTCAGGACTGGTCGTTGTCCTCTTCAGATCACCACACAAACACTTCTTGTTCTTTTATAACTTTTTATTGTGTATTAACAAAACAATCTTATAAACGGTTCTTAACTATTCTTCCTCAGAGTCACTTCTTTCAGATACCTTCTGAGCTCTGCTTCTCCGTGACCAGCCACTCTCAAAATGGCGAAGGCGCCCTTCCCTTCGCTTTCTCGCTTTCCCTGATGCAGTTCCTTCGGGCAATTGTCTTCTCCCATGTCTGCTCCAGATAGAGACTCCCATCCTTTACGATTGCGACATTGTCGTGCTAGATGCCCTGGTTTTCCACAGACAAAGCAATGCCTCGTGTCTCTTCCTCTCCCTGCATTTCCTCTTACCATGGAAGAGGTAGTAACTGGGAGGGGTCTGGCTGCTCCTAATTCCATGGGCTCTGGCCGCTCTCGTCCTGACACGTTGCCCGCTCTGCTCTCTGTACTTACGATAATATTATTTTCCCACCACCGTGGTCTCCATTGTTCCTTCTTTTCACTAGCCCTCCGTTCCACGCGTAGGCTCAATTGCAGGCACGTTCGGACCAGAGAGTCCTAGGAACTAGGTTCTGGCATTTGGGCCAATTGGTCTAAAATCTCATTATTCAGTCCTTCCCTAAAAAGGGCTGCAACTGTTGGGGAATTCAGATCCCATTTTAATTTCTGCACCAGCAAACTAAAGTTGGACCAGTAAACTCCCACAGTGTCTAGATACTGCAGAAAAATGTGTAGATTTCCTAGGGCGGCATCCCTTCGAGATATTAGGGGTATAACACAGTCCTTAGCCCTCCCTTCCAAGAAATTAATCACATAAGCAACCTTCTCTTGCTCAGATTGAAATTCTTTATCCTTTATCTCAATTATGTAAGAAATTTCTGTCTTGAAAGCCATGTATTCAGAGCTTTCTCCCTTGAAGCTACGCCGACGTACAGTAAATGTTTTACTCACTCTGTTTCCCTGCGTCGCTTGCAACATGGTTTTATGTTCTCCCAATGCTGCCGATAGTATGGTCGGCTTGACTTTTCAACTGTAAGTTCTGTTGCTATAAGTCCTGTAATGTTAGCTGGAGCCCTGGGGTTTCTCCTTGCCCAATTGGCACCACAGCTCCCTCCATTTTGGCTTCTCCTTCTTTACATATAGTGAAGAGGCGCAGAGCAGAAGGTATTCTGTCAGGACTGGTCGTTGTCCTCTTCAGATCACCACACAAACGCTTCTTGTTCTTTTATAAAACTTTTTATTGTGTATTAACAAAATAATCTTATAAACGGTTCTTAACTATTCTTCCTCAGAGTCACTTATTTCAGATACCTTCTGAGCTCTGCTTCTCCATGACCAGCCACTCTCAAAATGGCGAAGGGGCCATTGTTCCTTTCGCTTTCCTGCTCTTTTTCCTACCCTCCTGGCTAGAGCTGGCTTGTATCTCCCCTCCTCCGAATCTGAGCTAGAACTGAACCCTTGCCTTTCCTGGGAACAGCCGGTCCCTCCCTCTTGTTCCTCTTGCTCCCTTCTATTAGATTCACTGCTCTCCTTCCCCCCTTGGGGAATGCTTTCTCCCTCTGACAAACTGGAAACTTCTAACTCTTCCCTGACAGTAGTCATAACCTTGAAATCTCATTGATTTAAATGGGGACTGAGTTTAATTAATTAAATCCTGATCCAACTCTGTATCTATATGCACTCGATATCCAACGCATAACAATTAATGACACTTGTTATTATTTTTAGGAAGTGATGGCATTCCAGGTCAGCCTGGAGCTAAAGGGCATCCTGGGTCTCCTGGCCCTGCTGGCTTGACTGGTTTGCCAGGACCACAAGGACCATTTGGATTCCCTGGACTGCCAGGCCAGCAAGGGATCACGGGCAGAGCTGGCTCACCAGGGTTTGTAGGTGAGGATCGTCCCGCGTGCTTCCCAAATGTGATTTTCCTTGTACTTTGCCTGGCCATCTTTAGCACTTTCCTGGGGAAAGGTGATCTCAAACTACTGGTGTGGGACCTTTGGGGGTGCAATGTCATTCCATTAAACTTTCATAGGAGCTTATTATTTCAAGCATTGACATGGAGTAGCTTTTCCCTGCTAATACTGCCAACATGGTACAATCATAGTCCTTTTAAGATTTAAGCCATGGAAGATTGGCTGTTGACTTTAGTGTGCGGTGCACAGTTTTAACGTCTGCATTATACCAGCTTCTTACATGATTCAAATGCAGAGATCCTTGCCAAAATGCAGAGATCCTTGCAAAATGTTGTTTCTTGTCAGTTGTCCATCTAGCTAGATGGGATGTTTGTATGCTGACTACACTGTAATTCAGCCCAGTCTGAACCATGTGGTAAACTGCACATGAGCATTATTACTCAGGATGCCATATTTATTGGATTGGTGGTTTACAAACTTTAGGCTTACTAATGAGTTACCACCAATTAAATTACACACACACACATATTATACACACACACATACATATATACATACATATGTGTGTATTTATAAGAACTGCAGATCTTAAGGGACATTCACTTCAGTGTGTGAAAAAATAAGGTGCCTCTTCTAAGCCAGTGGCTGCTGTAATGCATGACTGCATTGTCTTAGAAACAAAAGTAGTATCCTTGTGTGTGTGTGTGTGTGTGTGTGTGTGTTTCAGATATACAGATAGTTCTTTGCTACAGTATATTGCCAAACAGTAATTTTCATTCATACACAAAATAAACTGTACAGCATATACAGTCGTACCTTGGAAATCGGACAGAATCTGTTCTGGAAGTCTGTTCAACTTCTGAAACGTTTGACTTCCAAAGCACAGCTTCTGATTGACCACAGACAACAAACCACAGGTGTATAAAAGCTTAGAAAAGCATACTTAGGTCTAACATAATTTATTCTGCATCTGAGTCTGTCTTACATAAGTAATACATAGATGAAAGGACTATGTCATTTTTTCACCATCAACTGGAAAGAAAAGGCAGTGAATTTCCCTAGTTCACAAATTTGCTCTATAAAATTTAACCATATGTGAAGTTTTTGAGGTCTAAAATAGCGCTTGGGAAACTTTATCTCAAGAGCAGCATTCACTTAATAGTAACTTTTTAGGACTGCACACCAGTGGTGGGAGGGGCCAAAGTAGGCAACAGGCAGGACCAAAGGTATCGGGAGCCACACCTTCTCTTCCCCTGTTTCCCAGTTCACTTTCTTCCTTGACTGCCATGTTGTGCAGAGAGAAATAGGCTTTGCCTCTGAACCACTCAGGACATAGTGAGTGGAGGACTCACAGCTGTTCAAGGTGGGAGGAGGGCAAGGGGGGGCATGTCTAGAATTTGGAAAATATTCCATCAATAATTTACTGGTTTTGTTCTTTATTTGATGTGTTTTCATATCAATACAAGCTGCACAATGACTGCTTTCCAGTGGCTGCATTATATCCATTATATTCCTCTGTTTCTTTTCGACATATATTTATAGGCTCACCGGGTGCCAGAGGAGATGCAGGAGACCCAGGGAAACCTGGTCCTGTAGGCATGAAAGGTCTGGCAGGTGACAGAGGTGAACCTGGTTTCATTGGAACTAAAGGCAAGGCTGGTGAGCCTGGTCTCCCGGGGGTGGATGGAATGCACGGTCTTCCAGGTGTGAAAGGTACAACAACAAAACAATTCTGAGCCCAAAATTACATGAGCAGTTGCTCCAAGAGTAATACATAATACATCTTGTGCAAAGTGTTAATGGATGCAATAGACCATGAAAGTGGGGAAACCACCTGTACCTCTTTTTTGAGATAAATTGGGTGCAGGCTCTTTACTCAAAAAGCTCCCGGGGACTTTTCCATCTGCAGTACAACGTTAAGTGCTGCTTTTGATGTTTAAAGCCCTGAATTGTTTGGGACCAGTTACCTGAAGTTAGCTTGGTCTCTCTTTTTTTTAAAAAAAAATTTTTATTGAGTTTTACATAACAAAATTAAATTCAAACAAAACATCCACATCATCATTTAGGATTCCCTGGATCCTTCGACTCCCCTCCCCTCTTCCATGGTTACCATTATCAATCTTTTTTTCCAACTGCTTGCCTTATTTTCTCTATTTTTTAAAGAAAAATAATCCATAGTTTTTCATACATTACAAGTATTACTCAAATCCTGCCAGAGTTTTTAGTTGTTTACAGTGTTCTCTTAAATACATTATAATTTTTTTCCATTCCTTCTTAAATTTCTCCTCTTCCTGGTTTCTGATTTTCCCAGTCAATTTCACCATTTCCACATAGTCCATCATCTTCATCAGCCATTCGTCTCTGGTCAGAACTTTGTCTTCTTTCCATCTCTGGACCAGTAGTATCTGTGCTGCTGTCGTTGCGTACATAAATAGTCATTTCTGCTCCTTCGGAATCTCTGTACCTAAAATACTTACCAAAAAGGCCTCTCTTTCACAAACGTTATTTTAAACATTTTTTTTCAACTCATTGTAAATCATTTCCCAGAATGCTCTTGTTATCTTGCATGTCCACCACATGTGGTAGAACGTGCCTTCTATCTCGCATTTCCAACAAACATTTGAAGCAGTTCTGTACATCTCTGCTAATGATAAAGGTGCTAGATACCACCGATACATCATTTTCATATAGTTCTCCTTCAATGCACAGCACGCTGTAAATTTTAAATCCTCGCTCCATAACTTTACCCAAGATGAAAATTGGATATTGTGCCCAATATCTTGTGCCCATTGTATCATTACCAATTTAACTTTTTCATCTTTGGTATGCCGCTCTAGCAACAGTTTATACGTTTTAGAAAGTAACTTCACATTGTTTTCCATTAAATCTTTTTCAAACCTTGAAATTTCTTTACTAAATCCATTTTTCTTATCTGTTTTAAACACATCATTTAATTGATGGTATTGCAAATAACCTGTTACTGTCTTATATCCTCAAAACATTTCAATTTCAATTGTTGTTCTACTTCCATAAGCAACTCTTTATAGGTTGCCCATTTACTTTTTGCATTAGTCTTTTTCAGGGATATCGCTTCCACTGCGGAGAGCCACCATGGTGTCTTCTGCTCTAACAGGTTTTTATATTTTTCCCATACTCCATAAATTGTTTTTCTTACCAAGTGATTCAAAAACTTTTTATGCACTTTCATCTTCTCATACCATAGATATGCATGCCAACAGATATCTTAGACCTTGAGGGTCATGATAATAGACCCTATTATCATGACCCTCAAGGTCTAAGATACCTGTGTTTTTTAAAGTTATACACTCCCGAAGCCAGCAGAGACATGATGCCTCATAATATAATTTCAAATCTGGCAGAGAGAAGCCACCTCTTTCTTTGGTATCTGTTAATAGTTTATATTTAATATTTAATATTGGTTTCTTCCCCTGCCAGATAAATTCGAAAATATATTTTTGCCATTGTTTGAAGTGTCCCTCTCTGCATACCCTGGGTATTGTTTGAAATAAGAATAACATTCTTGGCAATACATTCATTTTCATGACTGAAATTCTTCCCCAAAGCAATAAATTCATCCTTCCCCAGACATCCATATTTTTCTTCATCTCTTTCCATGTTGTTACATAGTTTTCCTTAAAAATATTTATATTCTTAGCTGTTAGCCATACCCCCAGATACTTCACCTTTTTTCAATTAACTAGTGTTGCTAGTTGTAGCTCATTTTTATTTTTTCACTAATACTTTCATATTTTTATGCATTCATATTTTTCACTAATACTTTCATTTTATTTTTATTTAGCTTGAATCCTGTTACCTGTCTGAACTCAGATAATTTGTCTAATATCTTTGGTATGCTCGCCAACAGGTCTTCTACTGTTGTTACAAGGTCGCCTTGGTTTGCACCCAACTGTTATACCTTTTATTTCTTCATCAGATCTTATGTTCCTCACCAGGGTCTCTAATACTAAAATAAACAATAACGGTGATAAGGGGCAACCCTGTCTTGTCCCTTTTTTAATTTCACACTTTTCTGATATTACATTATTCACTGTCAGCATTGCCTGCTGATGTGTTTAAATTGCACCAATTCCTCTTAGAAATGATTCTCCAAAATTCATCATCTCCATAGATTTTTTTCATAAAGATCCAAGACACATTATCAAAGGCCTTCTCTGCATCCACAAACATCAGAGCTGCTTGTTTTTCATTCCTGACTTCCAGATATTCTATTATGTCAATTATATTCCTTATATTATCCTTTATCTGTTCAGCCAGGAAGAAAGCCAGCTTGATCCTGATGAATTAACTCTTTTAACATCAGTTTCGAACGGTTCACCATAATATTGGCGAATAATTTATAATCGTTGAGCAGAGAAATCGACCTATAGTATTTACTGAGAGCAGGTCCATGTCTTGTTTCAGAAGTAATGTTATATATGCCTCTTTCCATAAATCTGGATTTTTCCGTGTTCAACATTTATTCATTACATGCTTCAGCGATTGTATCAGAAAGTCTTAATGTTTTTTATAATATTTAGCTGATAAATATGACCCTGGTGATTTACCTAATTTTGAATGATTAATTCCTTGTTGCACCTCCTGTATCGTTATTGGTGCATTCAAATAATTAATTTTCTCCTTCAGGATTTTTGGTAAATTACTCTACTTTAAGTATTCTTCAATTGTATCTTTATTTCTTTAATGGCTCAATATAGCTTTGTGTAATATTTTACAAATTGTCTTCTGATATCCTTCAGGTTATCTATTATTTTACCTTCTACTTTCAATTTGTTTATTACATTCTTTTTAATTGCCAAGCAAGTAGTTTTCCTGGTTTATTTGCAAATTCTCTTTTTTCTGCCTTAGCATTTTAATCTTCCATTCAATTACTTGGTTCACTAACATTGAGAATTATGTCTGTAACATTTTTATATTTTGTTTTATTGAATCTTTCCCAGGTTTTTTAATCAGTTCTTTTTCATTTCTAATCAGTTCTTCCAAAATTTCTTTATTTTTACCTTCTCTAACCTTTTTTTGATATGCACTCTGTTGAATACAAAAATCCTCTCATCACTGCTTTGCTTGTATCCCAGACCATATTAAGTTCTGTCCCTTGATTAAAATTTAATTCAAAATTATATTTCAAGATTTTTTCTGCTTTTTGCAAAGTTAGTTGGTTATCTAAAAGTCCTTCATTTAAACTTCACCTAAATGTGGAGTTTTCATTTCAATTCCAGTAACACTGGATTGTGATCTGAAAGTGTCCTTGGTTGTATTTCTATTCTTTTTGTTCTCAGTATTAGTTCATTTGATGTCCATATCTAGTCAATTCATCCTGCAGATTAATTTGGTTCAGAAAAATGGGTATATTCTCTTTCAAATGGGTGTCTAAATCGCCAAATGTCAATTTTAAGTTCTCTACCATATTAAAGAAAGTGACAGGTAGTCTGCCTTCTTTTGAATCCATTTTTCTTATTGTCCTGTCAATTTCTAAGGAGACTACCCCATTTAAATCACCCATTAATGTTATCTTTTGATCCATTAACTCATACAACTTTTCTTTCAGTTCTTAAAAAAATTCCAATTTTTTAATAATTTGGTGAATACATCCCAATTATCACAGGTTTCTATTGTAAGGTTATTTCTATTGCTGTCATCCTTCCATAATCATCTTTAAATAACTGTTTCAGGTTATATTTATTTTTAGCATAAATTACCACCCCTCTTTTTTTTGTCTAATGTCATAAAGTCCATCCCCAATCATTTATTTATCAAGATTCTTCTGTGTCTTCTTGCTACATGTGTTTCTTGCAAGCATATTATGTCCAAATTCTCTTTTTGTAATACATGTTCTGTTTTACTCCCTTTCAATTTATTGTTTAGTCCGCTAACATTCCAAGTTAAAAATTTCAAATTCTTTTCTCTCTTTTATTTATATATTTTATAAATAAAAAGGTCTAATTAAGTGTGCTGTTGTTTATCTTCTTCTTTTTCTGCCGGATCTGTTTCCCCTTCTGCACCTACTGCTTCAGGCTTTTTTCCTCCAAGTTGTTTTTTATATTTTCTCCAAAACTTCTCCATATCTTGTACACTTTTGCATTTTTGCTTTTTCCCTTTATATGTAAATGAGACACCCTCAAGGAACTCTCATCTATATGGAATCTTATTATTTTTCAATGCTTCAGTCAAAAATTTATAATTATTCCATTTTTGGTTTTTTGGTTTTTAAAAAATATTTTTTATTACATTTTCAAATGCACAAATAAGAATATATAGTTCACATAACAAGCATAAGATAAACAAATAAAGAAAGAAGAAAATTCCACTTTCAGAAATATTTTTACATAACCAATCGGACTTCCTCACATCTCCCATACCATGCATTCTTTACCATAAAAATGTCAGCAAATTATTACCTTTTTTCACATCTTAATTTATACCTTTCAAATGTTTTAAATTTAAAATACTCTTTGTCAGTTACTTGTACCTTTAATCACCTTTAGTAATACTTTAAATCTCATCCTTTTCTTACTTTTGACTTAATTTTCTGTTTCAAAGATCTAATCGCTGAAGCTAAAACTTCCAAATCGTGCAGTTTTTAACATTCGTACAACTTATAGTATTTTTGTAAATAGTCCTTAAATTTTTTCCAGTCCTCCTCCATCGCCTCTTCTCCCAAGTCTCGGATTCTG